TATTTATTTTTTAAATGAGCGATCGTTTCGCTTGATAAGACCCTTATTCATCGTCTGGTGTCGTTTAAAGCCCTTTGAAGCTGCACTGAAACTCTCATTTGGACCTTGAACTGTTTGGACCCCATTGAAGTCCATTATATGGAGAAAATCCTGGAAAGTTTTCATCAAAAACCTTCATTTCTTTTCGACTGAAGAAAGAAAGACATGGACATCTTGGATGACATGGGGGTGAGTAAATTATCAGCAAAAGTGTTTTTAAAAAGTGAACTACTCCTGTAAGGAGAATCATCTAATAAATCAGACATAACTGAGAACTCCAATTCATTAACTCCTTTAAAGTCCTCTTCCAAAAGTTTCTCTAACTAGCTCCAGAAAACAAAACCTCAAAATCTTCATATGAGATCAGCTCGTGAAGTTTCTCTAAATACGGCTGCGTCTCAATCCCTGAGCTTCGCCAGCCCTCGTCACACTCATGATGATGTAACAGGTGTCACGGCAAACGAGGACAGTCCGAGACCACGGGACACGAGGCCACGATCACACACGTACAGGCCAGGGCTATCACACTTCACAAACTAAAACCATCAATCACAAATAATTAATTCACTAGAAATTAAGTAAACATAACTGAAATAAAATAAAGTACTTCAAAAATTATACTTATTTTTCTTATTATTATTATTTTCATTCCGTTTCAATTGATAAAACAACTCATATTTAAATAAAAAATTCATTATATTTTTATTTAAACCAAGAAATGAAAATGACTAAAAACAACAGCATAAAAAAATTTAATTACTTGAAATAAACGTTAATTTAATTTAGTTTTCAAACATTAACGTCATTTAATTTAACTTGGATGTAATACTGTCTGGAATAAATATTCATATAAACTAAAAAGACAACTTAAAAACACAAGACTACTAAAATGAAAATGAAAAACTGGAAAATGGGAAACCTAAAAATAAAAATATTAATAAAAACTATAATACCTTCTCAATTATACTAAAATAATACTGATCTAGAGCTTAAAATTACAAATTTCTGACATTTTGTTAAACTTAATAGTTAAATAAAGATTAAGCTGTGATTATTATAACACTTTATTTTAAGGTGACGTAGTTACAACTTACTACAGAAATAACAGTAAATTACTGTATGCATAATTACGAACAACACCCAGAGCCAAACCCTAATAGTAATCAGTACTTAACTAAGTACAACATAACTTAAAAAACACACTGTACATTTGTAATTAATTAAAATAATTACTATATTCTTTGTGGCCATCACAAATCAATATGGATACCATAAACTTAAATGTATGTATGTTACATACAAATGTATACACACGCATCATTACAAACAGCGCTTGAGATGTAAAATAGCAGATACCTGTTGATCTGAATCTAGCAGTGTGTCCATCTTCACAGTGGAACGTGTTCAGAGTGTGTGTGTGTGTGCTTTACTATGAGCCCAGAGACCACAATAACGAGCTCACGGCCAGCAGCCAATCACAGCGCGCCAAACACACTCACCTAGGCAATGGACTCACCCATCTCTACAGCCACAGGGGGAGATTATCATCACGGTGAAAAAACACAGATATCACGACTGAAACATGAGTTTGGACGGCAGTCTCGTATGCAGCACATCTCTAGAATTAAAGCGTGCAAAAAATATATATCAAAATAATCAAACCTGGTTGCAAGTGAATGTGTGTGTGGTGTTGTTTTCCTCCTGGTAAACGTCTGCTGAGTGTAATTGGATTCAGGGATCAGGCGGCATCGGCTCAGAACTGGACAGAACTCTGATGTCGTCGTGTTTTTTAATTTTATAAAATGGCTTTTGCATTACTTAGCAGTTTGGCCCAACTTAAAAAGTCTGACAAACACTACACGTTTTAAATATACCCTGAAACAAAGAAGAGTACGATAACAACAATAAATCTTTTTTTTTTTTATTGATATCATGTAATATTTAAATTTTCTGAGATTTGGAATTTGGGGGGGGTTTACAAGTTCTAAACCATAATCATATAAAATTATAACTTTTGCACAATATTGTTTGTTTCATCACCTGTAGTATGTCCGGATTACAATCATACTACACACATTCATCCTCTATAACGTACTTTTTTTAGTGGCTGTGAAGTAATTATTCAAGTACCTACTCAAGAGAGAATGCACTTTCAATGATTTTCAGAGATTTTAAACACCACTAGGTGGCGCTGTAGGGCCTTAGATGCTCTGATGGGGTGACAAAGGGAATGTAACACTGGCCAATAACTGGTGATTGTGTACAGTATACTATGCATGAATAAAATTGACCAAATATAGTTGCTCCCTAACAATAACAGTATTGAGTGGATCTCCGTCCTGTACAACTACACATTTTGGGAAGGAAGGATTGTGGGTGATGATTTCTTTAGTCTCGTCGCCTCATCATACATATAAACTCCCTCAAGAAGAGCAACACTGAGCCAGAGGTCCCAGTCCTGCACATGAAGCCCAGCAGAGCCGTGTGGACACACAATGGCCGGCCCCCGGGCCTCTTTTGTGGGACGGCGTGCACCAGCACACAGTGATGACGCCACTTTTGTTCCACACTGTCAAATAATGGTGTCACCTACTCAGAAATGTCATGCTGATTTCTGCCGTAACGCCTGGAATAAACCCAGGCGGGAGACGGAGAGCTCACACGACTGCTTCTGCTTGTTTTATTGCAGTTTCAACGAAACACCACATACAAAATACAACAAACGATGCATGACAAAGAGAAATCAGCAGGATGCAGTTGTCAGGATGCTCTTGTGGTTGCCAGGGCGTTGCTATGCATTTGCTATTATGCTCTGGTGGTTGCCTAGGTGTTGCTAGGCATTTTCTAAGATGCTCTGTGTGGTTGCCACTATTGCCAGGGTGTTACCATATAGTTGCTAGGATGCTCTGGATGGTTGCTAGGGTGTTGCAATGCATTTTCTAGGATGCTAGAATGTTGCTAAGCAGTTGTCAGGATTCTCTTGGTGGTTTTCAGGGTGTTGCTATGCAGTTGCTAGGAATGATCTGTGCGATTGACAGTATGTTGCAATGCATTTGGTAAGGTGGTCTGTGTGGTTGTCAGGGTGTGCTGTGAATTTGCTAGGATGCTCTTGTGGTTGCCAGAGTGTTGCCATCCAGTTGTCAGGATGCTCTGGGTGGTTGCCAGGGTGTTGCAATGCATTTGCTAGGATGCTCTTTTGATTGCCAGGGCGTTGCTATGCATTTGCTTTTATGCTCTGGTGGTTGCCTAGGTGTTGCTATGCATTTTCTATGATGCTCTGTGTGGTTGCCACTAGCCAGGGCATTGCCATATAGTTGCTAGGATGCTCTGGATGGTTGCTAGGCTGTTGCCATGCATTTTCTAGGATTCTAGAATGTTGCTAAGCAGTTGTCAGGATTCTCTTGGTGGTTTTCAGGGTGTTGCTATGCAGTTGCTAGGAATGATCTGTGCGGTTGTCAGGTTTTTTGTGTGCATTTGCTAGGATGATCTTGTGGTTGCCAGGGTCTTGCTACGTATTGGCTAGGATGCTCTGGTGGTTGCCAGGGTGTTGCTATGTATTTGCTAGGATGCTCTGGTGGTTGCCAGGGTGTTGCTATGCATTTAGAGGATGGTCTGTGTGGTTGCCAAGGTGTTGTAATGCAGTTGGTAGGATGTTCTGGGTGTTTCTATACAGTTGTATGATATTCTTAGTGGTTACCAGGGTGTTGCTATGCAGTTTCTAGGGTGTTCTGGGTTGATTGAACCAGCCTGTGCAAAAAGTCAGATTTGTTTTCATTTTTGGGATGAATTCTTGGCTGAAAACTTGTTCACACCAGGTTAAGAAATACACTCAGGCCTAAATTTTGTCCTTGAAGAGGATACAAATGTAACTACCATATTAATCAAACTACTTGCTGACTAAAGCACTCCAGTCAGATAGGAATATCCTAAAAATATCTGTAAGGTTGTGTGATATTCACAGTGCGAGTTTAATTTCCAGACAGGCGTATAATCGCAGCCAATCCCTTCCACCAGACGCTGAGGCGAAACTCAACACCACGGCTCAGCAACAATAAACACACAGCACATATTGTGGTTTGGCAAAAGTATCACTCATAAACACGTCAGCATAACTACGAAATCTCAGGGGAACACCAGAATGCTTCAGTTCAGATCCAGATTTAATGTGTGAATCAAATGTGTGGAATTTACTAAAATACAGAATGAAATCGAAACGCACTACTTTTCTCATGTCGTTGGTCTTATTTTTGTTGAACATCTACTCAGTGCATTATTTTTAAGTAATTTTTTGACCTCGTAATCTTTAATCAAAAAGTCTCACTCTGTGTTTTTTTCATTTCACTGTCACAATACGATAGAAGAGTCATTTGCATGTCCATATCATGCCGAATTTGAAGAACATAATTTAAAAACAAGGTTGAAAATATCCTGCTCATCTAGATCTTTATTTAGACAGGACATCTAAACGCAAGTGCTGCTAAACCGCACAGTGAGTTTGTGGCGTCTTCACTGAAACGGATTTAGCCCTTAAGCGGAGTTACCTAAAAAGATTGAATCCAATATTTGGTGATTATATAGCATAAATAGAGATTATAAACCATTTTTTGTAGGCCAGTAATTCTTGAATATAACAAGTGTGGGGGGAAAATCCCACAGAAGTACAAAAACTATCCCACGATTTTAGGGAAGTGTTAAACCCTGTGTGAGCGAAGTCAGTACGTTTTAGTGAAATTATCCTCTCCGGGTCAAAATGACTCAAACACATCATCAGGGTTACTTCTGTAATGTGACGGGTTTCCAGTTAAAATAGGATATTATTCACAAAGAAAACTTGAGGAAATGATTGCATGGTTTTGAAATCGCCTTCTGCTATATATGTATAGCCAGTGTCTCTATGACGTCAACTAATCAGCAAACCGGGTCAGTGTTGGTGTCAGGTGGACTTTAACAGGGAATCCTACCGTTTTATTCCCAGAGAGAGCGTCTTATGTGAGCTTTTAACCAGACAAATGGCCTCCAGTCTGTAACCGCTGAGAAGAACTGAGTTAACACTGACTATCTGATCCCCGCTCCGGACTCGAGCCAGCGCCGCTCCACTTCCGGCCTCCACCTCAACAAACAAACACACACAACAAACATCAGCATCCAGCAGAAACATCTACATCTGCTTTCCACTTCAGTGCAAGAGTCAAAGCCTGATAACACAAGCAGGAATAAATGAAACCAGCGGCTCTTCCTGCTCATCTTTGACACGGTTATCTACGGTTATTTATGGAATATCTGTTTCCAGCTTCCATGTTGGGAAGGATGTGGTTTGTGTTTTTTCTGCTGATTGGAGATCTGCTGGAAGTTCTGCTTAGGAATGATACGAGCCAAGAAAAATGTAGTCAACAACATTTATAAGAAAAAAACAAAAAATCTGGGTTCCATTTTAATGGTTTCATTTAATGTATTAAAAATTATAAACAATACTTTAAAACAAATCATAAATATTTTACCAAATAATTCACAGTGTAAATACTTGAATAATTAAAATATATCTTTTTATATATATATATATATATATATATATATATATATATATTCAATATTTTTTAATCTATAATGTTTAATTAAAAGCATTAAAATGGAATCCATACTGAAAGTTTTGGGAAATACATAAAACAGATTTCATATGGCCCTTTTTGATATTTTACATTACGTTTTTAATATATTATTATTTATAATTCGTATTAAATTTAATAAAACAAATTAAGAAGTATAAAATAAATACATACACGTCATAATTTGATTAAAATAAATAAATCATTACTATATATTAAAATAATTCAACAATAAAATTTGATGAAATACAACAAAAATTGGGCAAATAAATATTACATCTAGCAGAAAAATGTAATGTGATATTTACACATGCAAATGATAATATTAATTCAGACTAAAATAAATAAAATAAAAATGAGTAAAGGCATATCAACTTATATAAATACTTAGATTAAAAGAAATAATAATATATTAAATTATATTACTATTTTTAATCAATTAAAAGTATATAATTAAATAAAATAATAAAACCAAGCACAATATACATAAATAATACTTCTAACAGTACAGTACTATAGTGCGTAGGAAAAAAAACCTTAATGTAGGCCTAACCAAATAGAAACTAAGAATATTTTACACATATCTCTCATGTTCACAGTATTTGTTGAAGACAGGACATGAACAACATCGACCCTACAGGACCATGTTGAAGACAGGACATGCACAAAGGCCGCATCACTCAACACAAAAACCCTGAGAGTCTGTGTAACGTCCATCACAGCCATCAGGAACCCGATCGCCACACTGAAATATTCAGGAGCTGGAAACTTTAGATACAGCTCCTTTCACATCCCGTAAAGTCCAAAGCAGCTGATTTCAGATCAGTTTGTGATCTTGATTTGCACACTTTCAGATGGTGCTCACACACGTGACCTCGGTGGTTTGGATGTTGGATGACGTGGTCGCAGTGAAAGCGGCTCAGGATTCACAAACACTGCAACACTCGACTCGATAACTCCAGATTATCTTTAGAATTCACATTAATTAGCAAATTACACAAGAATATGGTTACAGGAAATTACAGAAAAAAATGTCAGGAATTTTAATAAGATCTTTTGTTTGTTTGTTGCAGTTTAATCCACAGGGGCCAAACCTCCAAAAACAGACGAATGAAATAAACAAATGCTGTAATGGCACAAAATGATTGAAAAGGTTTAAATTGTGATTTTAATTTAAAATGCTTTTTTTTTAAGAGTTTAAGGTTTGCCTTAACTTGGCAAAATAAATAAATAATAAAAATCAGTGATTATGTATCAATATGAGCATTAAAAAAATTATAACTATTATTGATGTTATTTATTACGTAATTATAATTCAGAATAATTCATATAATTAATAATACATATTATTGTTATTAAATGAAAATAAAATATTTAATAAAAATAATATACATTTTATTTTACAGTATATTTATAATTTTTACAATACTAATAATTAGTCTTAATTTCTTCATTGTCAAACATTAAAAACCATCAACCAGCCATTTTAGTGGAAATCCACAGGAAATGGATGTGTGAGTGTTAAATGAAGTGTGTCAACACTTCTAATGCAATGATGTTGTGCAATAAAGTGTGACCCTGTATAATTTACATTTCAGTTTTATTAACAAAACAAATGTGTTTGCTAAAGTCGGCATTAAATTTTGTTACAGATCTTACCGTCGGCAATTCATTCTTGCATATGTTTTAACAAAATGTTTTGAGCTCATGATATTTAATCAAAATAACTGAACCTTGTTGATTCCCATGTTGATGACATATGCAGGATTCTCCAATCGTTTAGTGCGCTTAAGCCCCGCCCCCTGCATACAACTGAGTGCCACGCCCACATCTCAACATACAATCAAACACGTGTATATGGTTTTGGTGGTGTATCAGTATTTTGGTGTATTTGGTGGACAGTAACATAAAGAACATTGACATAAAAATATTGAGATTTCCACAGCTTTGCAGCAAATTTTCAATTATATCTGTTTTCTCACATGTATTTTATATATATATGAAAATCATTAAAAAATTAAAATTATTTCAAAATAAATTAGTAGACAGCAAAAAAGAAATACAATATATGAATATATTAAAATAAATTCAAAGTATATTAATGTTCATACATTATAATATTTTTGTTTACTAAACCTATATAATTAAATTCAATAATAAAACACAACAAAAATAGACATTATACATCAAAAAGTTTTTTATTGTAACCAAATAGAAACTAAATATTTTCCAAGTTTTATTTTACACATATGCCTTTCTTGCCCACAACGTTCATTTGGTCTAGATACATGAAAATATAGTCTTTCATATTTTAGGAATTGATTATCATATTCATGCAAAAAAGTACACTAGGGTGTGCGTATTTCCCCGAAATATCATCATAGGTTTGTGTGTGTGTGTGTTGATAATAATGCGATGGACTGAGGTACCTTGGTAATGATGAGCGGCTCGTGATACTCCAGTCCTCCTCTGAGAGTGAAGCCCCACGGCGAGCCTCCACTCAGCCGTAACTCCATCAGCTCAACATCTCCTCCATCCTCCTCCTCTTCCAGAACATCTCCTGCTGAATCTCCACAGTCTTCTCTGGCGTTCACAACTTCCATGACGCCTCCAGAACTCCTCAACTCGCCTGTGTGAGACAAACTCTCCTGACAGGAGCCGCTGCTCTCTCGCATTTCCTATAATAACATCGGCTTTAACAAGTGTTTTCAACGAGAATAATAACGGGTTTAACAAAAACACTCGAGCTCAAGACGAATCTATGAATCCACCGGCGTGTTTCAGACTTTGGCGTCATGAATGAGTTCAAACTGTTGAACATGATTATCAAACTCCATCAGGATCAGAAGAGCAGCGCCCCCTGTCGGCCTGAGGCGACAATGACGAACACATCCAAAAAATATAAAATATAAAATATATATATATATATATATATATATATATAAAATTATATTACAATATATATTTTGTTTTTTTTATATATATTATTATATAATATATATATTTTATTATATATATATATTATATAATATAATTATATATAATAAAATATATATTATATAATAATATATATAAAAAAATTATATATATATATTGTTCAAAAAATATATTTTGTATCAGAATAAATGCAAGTATAACGGTGCAATGCCATATACAATATTTAACATTTATTAAATATATATTTTATTCAGGCCTATTTATTTGACCAAACCAAAAACATCAGATACAGGCGCACATAGCCATAGCCTACAAATACATGTAAAGACGCAAATTAACATTTATTAAATATATTTTATTTCTTTATCCGACCAAACAGTAATGAATAAAATTAAATAAATTTTTGAATAAAGTTGGAGGTTTTATAAGTAGTAGCAGTTTCGTCTGGTGTAGAAATTACCAAATCAGCCCCAAATGAATGCAGATCATGCAGTTCTTCTCAATGTATGTTCACAATCACATAAAGGAGCATTGAAACTCTATTGAGTGATGTCACAGAAGTCCACTGCTCATTTCCCAAGAATGAGGAACTGATTTCATGATTAACCACATTTTTAGGTGTTTCCCCATATCATTTATGATCATCATTCAGCTTTTATGATGAGGCTTGTCTATGGAGACGTTCACTTCCACATCTACCTACAAATCACAGCAACGTCTCTGTGTGTGTGTGTGTGTGTGTGTGTGTGTGTTTGAGTGTCTGTCTGTGCCTGTGTGTGTGAGTGTGTGTGAGAGAGAGAGCGAGAAAAGTAGTAGAGAAGGAAGTTTTATAAATTCAATGCTTTAAAACTTTTTATCCCTCTCAATGTGTCCATATAGCTATACTAGAAATTCATTTTTCATGATTTTCATGTTCATCAATATTTCAAAATAAAGGTCTGAACACGCCTTAGGAGTATGATAATATTCTTGTTGCAAATTAATAGATTACGGTTCTTCAGTCAATTATTTTGAAAATCATTTATCAAATAGTTAACATCAAATATTGGTTTAGGTTTAGTATAGGATATTACTGTTTTAAATATGCAATAGCTACTTAAGGGGTTTAAAAACCAATTATCTGAGGATTTTTTTATTATTATTATTTATGTATGTAAAATTTCAGCAAAAGCAACACATTATTTATTACATAAAATACGTTTGTGTCCTTAATTAACAAACCAGTTTCTCTGGCCAGTATCAAAGGAAGCAGTGCTGCCCCCTACTGACCAACTGCAGGACACACCAGCAGCGTTGAACACACTGATATACACATATAAAGCCGGACATATGAAGAAATCATCTGAAACAAATATCAAATAAATAATAAAAATCGAACAGTTTGCAAACAGTTTGTGATTTTGTTGAGCATCATAATTGATCCATCAGGCTTTTATGGCTCATATAGTCTGATATAGTGAGAATATGGAGGAATAAATTACTTTAATATCATTAAAGGCTCAAACTGAGCACAAATATTCAACGTTGGTGCAGATGCTGATATTTAGGGCCAAAAAACGTGTAAAAAATCAATGATTTGTAGGCTATAACAGTAAAGCAGATACTGACATAACATGCATATATATCAGTCGTCGTTCTATCTGCCAATTAATAATTTGCCCTCAGTTAGATGATTTAAATATTTATTTTTATGCATTTTTTAAAACATAATGCAATGCAGTACAACGATGGTTGAGAGATGAACTAATAAACCTTCCTCAAAGCCTGGTGAGACTCACATTTGAACATTATGTTTCTAAAATAAATATGCGTGATAATCAAGCAAACCTGAGTTGCTTCAGTCCTGCAAGTATTAATCTTACATTTGTTTACAATTACACTAAAATGCCTTTTACTTGCTAAAAAAACATGATTGTGTGCAACAGGGTTTTGAGCAAAGTATTGATCATGTAGAGGCATTGGAAATATAATACATCTAGGGTTTAACTAATACTATATTCAAATTGATCAGTTTGATTGAACTCCTTATGATGGGTCATGTCTTGTTTTTGCATGCATCACTTTTCACTCTTATATATAGGCTATATAGCACTCGTATTTATGGTTTATATAAATGTACAGTTAGGCATAATGTATTGCTCCTCTCTGTGGAGTCCCTCCTCATCTGACGTCAGTCGCCATTTGTGACGGTTACCATGGCAACCACAAGCCTCCCCTAGAGATACATGTAGTGATGAATTCAGCTTTTTGCATTTGCACTGTACATTACATAGCTCTTACAATGCACCGCTGTCCAAAATGTATTCTGTAGAAATTATCTGTTTGTGTCTCATCTATAATCAGTAAGATTTTACACTCTTTTATTGGTATTTCATGGTATAACCACAGTGATATAATTAAAAAAAAAAAAAACATTTATTTAGAATTTTCTTGACTTACTTAGAAAAAAAAAAAATTCAGGTCCACATTTGGATACGTGCCTGTGTTTGAAACAACAAAAGCAGGGTATCCTCTCCATATTAACACTTCTATTTATAGCCATGCTGCATCTTTTTTTAGAAGGCATGTTCCTGATGCTCTTCCCTTCGGCTCCGCAGATCCTCAGCCATCACGAACAGCTGCCCGAGACACTTATTTTCCTCATGCATGTACCCTATATGTCATTTATATGTCACTAATATGATTCTGATTTTAATGAGAACAATAAGTGAGCAGCTGTGACCCCATCTGGAAGCCTTTTAAAGAGGTTAAAGCCCTGAAAGACCCCATACCATCTCTGACAGAGAACAGATCGCTTTCAACTCATGCCATTGATTCTTCTCCCACTGTTCACTTTCATTGATGCCATTAAATATTCAACATTTCCAAATGCGAGTGCATTTATCATTAATTTTGAAATAGTGTAATTGACTTGCTCTCAGCATTTAACGCAATATACAATAGCCTACAGCCCAAAATTATATTTGTACACAAACTGTAATTGTACACAAATACATCTTTGTTTTTTGTGTGCATGTGCAAAAATTGTGTTTAAATTACGGTACATTATCTGTCTATCTACCTATTTATCTATCCATCCATCTATATATCCGTTGATCTATCTATCGTTCGATCTATCTTTTTTGTTTGCATGTGCAAAAATTCTTCATTGCACGTTATTATGACACATACTATCAATCAATTTATCTATCCATCTACCTATCCATCTATATATCTGTCGTTCTATCTATTCATAAATAAATGAATCAATCTATCTATTCATCTATTCATCTATCTATCTATCTATCTATCTATCTATCTATCTATCTATCTATCTATCTATCTATAATATCTCAACATAGGCTACAGTTACAGTACATTGCACAAACGTCGCTAAATAATAACAATGGACTTTTAAATCAGACCAACGTGTAAATGTTTCCGACCGATCTAGAGTTTAAAAGTAACTTTTACTACGACAGAAACAATTTTACAAGTTTCCCTGCGAGAATCAAACACGTAGCGGATACGTTTCCTGTTTCTCCTACAGGCGCTTTGTTGAGGCAGCGGACGGACTGTACCATTCATCCGCAGGTGAACACAACAGCGCCAACAACTACAGTTCCAAGTGTGTTCACACGATAAACACGGAGTTTGGAGGTAATGTTGTAGTTTCATACCTATCTAGCTAATATAAATCATATGTATGCCTTTAAATAGCGATTTTAAACGTTTGTAGATAAGCGGTGTCAGTCGGGCCACCCCTCCGCCGATTCTGTTGCCATGTTCCCGGTTCCCTTATGGGTGTGGTGACGAGATTGCTTGTGAAAATTGACTCTCAGCTCGCGTGAGGGCTGCGTGGCCCTTTAAATGTGTTTAAAATTGACTTCCAATTAATCGAGCTGCTTTTAAATTTATCTGTGCGCTTATCAACATGCCAGGGATCTGAAAGGAGCTGAATTTGCCCAAACCAGCCTGATCAGGTGAGGGGGAAAAACAATCGTAGGCTGTGTTTCTGTTCTCTCGTCTATTTCCTGCTTGTAAAATGCTCGTAAAAGGTCCAGCAGGGTCATTTAAACGCATTGCTGAACTTGTTTTGACTGTTTTAGGGGTGAATGATGGGTTGAATCTTGACTTCGTATAGCTAATTAGTTAAATTATAATCTGCTGGTTGTTCTGTTTAAAGAAGAAGCAACAGGAGGCCTGATACACACAAGAGTTGAGTCTGAACTCCAACCGTTATAATCTGTTAAGTGTTCCCTGGCAGGAGTTAATCATTTTAATGGACAGTGTGGCGTAGTGGTTAAATATCTGTGGTGATGAGTGAAAGATTGCAGGTTCAACCCTCAGCTGGGATGACAGTATTATTGTGTCCTTGATTAACACACTTCAGGTTACTACAGTAAACAAAAACTGCTAGTTGTTTTCAATTTTCGTTATATGAATGAACTGCACAAGTCATTTTTCGTAATGGTTATATCTTCCAGCTTGGTTAAATTGAACAAAATATTCCCTGTTCGTATTAAAAATTGAATCTGAAGAAGACGGCAATCTCTGAGATTCTTCGAGCAGAAGCTGATAGTTTTACTTTCACTTTACCTTTGTTGAAATCCGTTTTGATTCACCTCAAGTTATTTTTTGTCAAATCCAGAGACTTCAAACTCTGCTAGCATGAATAATTTTAATATTTACTGGCTTAATTTGCCTTTTTAACTTATGGGATAGTCATGTGTGTTCGTTACTATTGTGGGTTATTGTGTAATTTTATTATTTAAGGATTTAGAAATGACCTAGCAGACATTATTTTCGAAAAAAAATCGTTTCAGTATTCAGTATTTATTAGGTACATGAAGATGTTCACACACACACACACACACACACATATATATATATATATATATATATGTATGTTATTCCCTCCCCTTTTTCTATTATTTGCTTCCTGGAATTGATTTCCAGTTGCAGTTTTTTCTCTTTATGGGGTTATTAAATAAAAGCACACACCTTGTCATATTTGTATTGCTGTAAAAGATGTAGGTCCTCTGTCATAGTGTCAGATATGGGGCTCAGCAGTGTTTGTTCATCATTAATAGAGCGAAAAACCAGCATGGCATATCTGTGCCCACGGAGAGCATGCCAAGCTGATCTGACGCATCCCGGCACCTTCCCGAGTCCTGACGGGCATCGCCTGGAGTCAGTGTTATGGCGCACACTTGAATGAAACTTGCATTTGAATTGACAGACAATCAGCACTGTATAGTTTGGTTTGCATCATCATCATTAGGGCTGGGTATCGTAACAAAATGGACCGATACCGAATACCGATACCTTTTTCGATACCAATTTTATAACCAGATTTAACAATTACATTTTTATTTTATTTTTCAGTTTGTTGACTTTTTCACTCATATTTTGAGTATGAAAAAAAGCACCAATGTTAAAGTTTTCTGTTTCCTAATCATTTAACAACTTGTTTTCTTTACTTCAATGAGCTCATTGTTTCTGTCTTATCTTAACGCATTGTTTAACAATGAAACTGAATGAAAATTAATTGAAATGCATTACACTGTCACCTCTAAATTGTAATTTAGAAACATGCATTTTCTGTAAAGCTGCTTTGAACAAACGATATGTATTGTGAAAAATGCTATACAAGGTTAGGTTGTGCCAGATGATGGTTTGAGAGATGCTGGACTAGTAACCAAACCATTACTGTGCTGTTTGAGTTTGTAGATCTAACTGAACGCATTCGTAAGGTGAGGGAGACATTGAGACACGGTCGCCCGATTTGACGGAAAGGTCAGTGAACATACGGGTGGCATTTGGCAGCAGTTGGTGGGGTTTTGAAGACCCTCTGAGCTCACCGTCATTCCCCACAGCTCTCAGATCAGTTTGTGCGTTTAATTAAAGTTGCTGAAATGGATTTGCTCAAAGGATGCTGGTCCTTTGACCGTTCGTAATTGCATTTTAAGGGATTTCATGACCACTAGTGCAATGTTTGATTGACAGATGAGCACATGCAGTGTGTGAATGATGTCATTATACTGTATAATTGTAAGATGTGCTTATTTCTCGCAGGTCCAGCAAGTTGTTGTCTAGGGTGTAGGTCAAACAGGAACAATGAGTGAGTTGGAACAGTTGCGTCAGGAAGCGGAACAGCTTCGCAACCAGATCCGGGTAAGAGGAATCGTTCATCAGTGCTTGCGTTCGGACTGATGCAACAAAAGGAAACGACTCGCATGTAAACAATATATTTCCTTTGCTGAGTGTTTTGATTGGGAAGTTTTGTGTCATGAATTATTGTTGTTTTTCAGGATGCTAGAAAAGCCTGCAGTGACTCCACACTTTCGCAGGTACGAAACAAATCGTTGATTTATTCATAGATATCAACCGGGTCTTCTACAAACTGCTGTGGCGATGCACACTATCTGTCAAAGGCTTAGAATAATTAATAATACAATTTAAAAAAAAGTTTAAATTAAGATTTCTTTAATGCATTTGAAAGAAGCCTCTTATGCTGCATTTATTTGATCAAAAACAGTGAAATATAAATATTATTAAGATTTAAAATAAGTGTTTTGTATGTGATTATATATTAACCTTCAAATGGTCTTCGGTTCCTGTTTACACTTCTGGGCTTTGGGGTCTATTCGACCCCAACAATTAATTGAGTAATTGTACAAAAACATACATTTTTAATCATACAAATAATAAATAATTTTTTTAGTTTACTTCTCATCTATTCATTAATGCTGTGTTTCTGGAGATATAAAGTACTTTTGTATCCATATACCACACAATTCCTCAACTACACCATTAGCTTGCATATGAAATATTATTTTTTATGATACATTGCATTTATGCTCTGGTACTAGGCCTTCATTTCGGTGTAAAAATTTTCTGATTTATGCCGCATTTTTCTTTTCTTTTTTTGACATTTCCCATTCATTTCAATGTGGGGTCATTGACCCCGAAGACCAGAAGTGTGAACATTTTTTATCTCACAATTGCGAGATATGAAGTCAAAATTGTGAGAAAGTTGCTATTGCGAGATATAAAGTTGCAATTCTGAGAAATAGTCGCAATTGCGAGAAAAAAAGACGGAATTGAGACTCTCACAATTCTGACTTTATATCACATAATTGCGAGTTTATATCTCGAAATACTGACATCTTTTCTCAGAATTGTGAGATATAAACTCGCAATTGTGAATTATCAGGCCAATTCTACGGGGAAAAAAAAGATGAACTTTTTCCCTCCTCCGAATAGTTTACATCTCACGATTCTGACCTTACAACATACAATTGTGACTTTATATCAATCAATTCTGAGTTTATCCCGTAATTCTGACTTTATATCATGCAATTCTGAGAAATAAAGTCAGAATTACGAGATAAAAAGTCGCAATTACATTTTTTTATTTTTCATTCTGTGGCGGAAACAAGCTTCAATAGATCTCACATAGAAATGTCCAAAGAAAATCAAGATAAAGAAAAAAATAATCATAATTGTGCACATACTACTATGTTTTCTATGTTATAGTTATATATAGTAGTTATATGTAATACCATTTGAGTCCCTAATTACAAGAACAAAAAAGTAACGATTTGAATAAACTAAACCGTAGAATGAACAGATGCATCAATGCTTCATGGGAGCTGATTATGTTGTGTGATCTTTAATCTCTCGCTGTTTTGGGCTCATGTGGCAGATGACAGCGAGCCTGGACTCAGTGGGGCGGATCCAGATGAGAACGAGACGCACACTCAGAGGTCATCTCGCAAAAATCTACGCCATGCACTGGGGCAGCGACTCCAGGTGTGTGTTTGATTGACAGACACGTTCCCAGAGGGTCCTCCTGAACCATCGCGATTGGTTTTATAAACAGAAAATGCTGCTTTAAACACTCTCGGCCTCCTTTCAACTGTGTGATTAATATTACATGAAGAAACGCTTGGTACCCTGGTGTTCGTTTTCCATGGAGCTTTCCCACCATGTTACTCAAATCCCATCTGTGTCCCATATTAATTACAATTCATTATGGATACGCTGCAGTGTGGATGAATATAATTTCTTTGGCTTTTTTTAGGTTACTTGTCAGTGCCTCCCAAGACGGCAAACTGATCATATGGGATGGTTATACGACAAACAAGGTAATGAGATATTATTAAAACCATGTACGCTGAAAAAAGCATCACCAAATCTACCTAAATACATTGATTTATGCCAACAAAACTACTTTTTATAGGTTAAACTGCTTTTTAAGTTAACAATAGCTATGTTTCCATCCACCTATTTCTTTCGCATTTTGGGATATCGCATAAAACTGCTGGAGGGAAACGCCAAGATGCACATACATTTAAAAAAATGTGCATAACTATCCAATAAGACTTAACTTTTTTTATCTAATGAGAAAACATGCACATAAACTACAATGGAAACAAATTTACCGGATAAATTCATCGATGCACAGCAAAAAAAAGAAAAAGAAAAATCATGACTTGTGCGTTTGTATGGCTTTTTATTAAAGTGTAAAATCGGAATAATTGCCTTCTAGGACTGTCTTATACGACTAACACACATGCATTTATTAAAGCTTGATCCAATAAGACTTTAATTTTTTTTTCTCTGCTATTTTAAAAATGTTTTAATTTATTAGTAGCTCTAATATTTACTGAGATTTTTAAGTTAATATTTTAACAGCATGTTTGCGGTTCTGTGATGCCAGTTAATGTTAACATGACATACTTTGTGTTTTATTTTGATATGTTTTTATTTTAATATTTACATTTATATATATGTATAATGAAGTTGTTTTTGTTAGTTTGTTTTGAAATTAGTCTCTTTTGCTCACCAAGACTGCATTTATTTGATCCGCTGAACATTCATTTTCCATCACAGGAATGAATTACATTTTTAAAATGTATTAAAATAGCAAACCTGTTGTGTTTTATATGCAAAGTGTTTTTTTTTTCTTATAGTTTAGGTTTTTGCATTTCATCTGCGCGCTCTGAGACATAATTAATTATTCAAGAAAATTATTATATATACAGTGGTTTCCCCTACTGTTAAAAATCTTTTTACATCAGGAAGTTTTGATTTTGTTATCTTTGACTTAATGGATTGAAACGCTGATGAATTCGCAAATGTTTTATGCAATATTCTTATTTTGCGCACAAATTAAATTTGCTAACTTTTGATGGGAACATGGCTAATTGCAGCTCTTTTTACAGTCCTGCTGGATATTGTTGTCTGTTTTTGCTTCTTGTATTACTGAAGGATGTTGTATGTGTTTAACTCAGATGCACGCCATTCCCCTGCGCTCTTCCTGGGTCATGACCTGTTCGTACGCCCCGTCAGGGAACTACGTGGCCTGTGGAGGCCTGGACAACATCTGCTCCACCTACAGCCTTAAGACCCGCGAGGGCAACGTCCGGGTCAACCGAGAACTGGCCGGACACACAGGTGGAGTCTCCTTTATTTATCTCCTCAGTAATACTTCTTCTAAAACGGGGATTAACACGCTTTTTTTTGTCAGCCGAACCCCTTTGACCTAAAATATTTACTAGGGCTGTCAACTTTTACAGGTGAAACTCAAAAAAAAAAATGCATATCGTGATTCGTGCATCAGTTCATGTATTTCAGTTATTCAAATTAAAAGGTCAAACTAATATATTTAGTGTATAACTATATACATATGCATGATTATACTTTTTTGAGTATTATATGCAAAATTGACTTTTTTGTTTTAATTAACACATTAATAATTATTAGCTTGTCTATTCCACAAACATGTTTGGAAAACAAACACTGCTCTAATTCAACTCTTCAACTCTCTGTATGCCATTTTATACAATGCATAATTAATCAATGCAATGCATAATTTATTCTTTCTTTTTTTTATGAACAACCCTATAGGTTATCTGTCTTGCTGTCGTTTTCTTGATGACAATCAGATCATCACCAGCTCTGGCGACACCACATGGTGAGTTCATGTCACACACAATAATGCAATAAGTGCCATCTAGGGCTGCACGATTCTTGCTAAAATGTGAATCACAATTTTTCTCCATGGGAATTGAGATCTCGATTCTCTTACACGATTCTCTTTTTTTTCCATCCAAAATGTATTGCACTCGAGTAAAAAAAAAAAAAAAAAAACACAAGACAGTCTAATAAAGTGCAGTAACAAAAAAAAAATCTAAATTGTTTAAGCTGGTTCTTTGGGGCTAGCCTATGTAGCTGTCTGTGTATTACTGTCATGAACTAAAAGTAAGTGTAGGCTATATTTAATATAAACAGAAAAAAATTAAATAAATTAATTAAATTAAATAAATTAATTAAAACTAAATTTTCAACTTTACTTCTGTCTTTTTTTTGCAGTGCATTGTGGGACATTGAGACGGGCCAACAAACCACCAGTTTCACAGGACACACGGGCGATGTCATGAGTCTGTCGGTCAGTCCCGACTCAAAGACATTCGTGTCCGGGGCCTGCGATGCCTCCGCTAAGCTGTGGGACATCAGAGATGGGATGTGCAGGCAGTCTTTCACTGGCCACGTCTCCGATATTAATGCCGTCTGCGTAAGTGTTCTACCTTTAAAATCATGCTCGCTGTTTCGTTCAATTATTAAAATCTAAACTATTAGTCAAAAAGTTTGGAATTTAAAAAAAAAAAGTTTGGTTCTACTTCTGGGTGGTTATATTATGTTCTAGAAGCTTCTCTTTTTTTTGTTTACTCCTGCAGTTCTTTCCGAACGGAAATGCCTTCACAACAGGTTCAGACGACGCCACCTGCAGGCTGTTCGACCTGCGCGCAGATCAGGAGCTGATGATGTATTCTCACGACAACATCATCTGCGGCATCACCTCCGTGGCCTTCTCCAAGAGTGGACGCCTCCTGCTGGCCGGCTACGACGACTTCAACTGCAACGTTTGGGACACTTTAAAAGGCGAACGTGCAGGTGAGCGCAAACGCCCTTCAGAAATTTTATATATATTTTATCTCATCTTAGTGGACGAATTTTAAGGGTTCTCGGTAAAAACTTTGCAATCTGTGTTTAAACTAAACCTTCACAATTTAAACATTCGAGACAAAGATGCAAAAGAGAACTTGTGCACACGTCTCAGACAGAAAGTTCTCTTTCAAGGCTCGCACTTAAACGGATAAATTCACACAAATTTTGAGTATCCAAGCACAGTCGATTGCGCCTTAAGTGAACTTCTACGGTCGAGAAAGACAACACATGTAACTGTAAAGTGACAGCAGCCTAATATTCCTGCTCTCTGTGTTTGTTAATCAAACAACTAAAGACAAGGAAAACACTCACTGCTTTTGTTTGAATAGCTTTTGTAACTTAAATAAGGATTAATCTTTAATTTATCCGGTCAAATATGCAATGTTATTTTACATTTGAGTGCTTTATTAAATTTCTGTACCTGAAAACTAACGTCAAAAAGTGCTTTTTGGGTTTATTTTATTTGTGTCTTTCCTCTATTGTATTTATTTGTGCTGTTGCATTGTCTTTATTTGACAGTAGTCCTTTTTTCCCGCCTTACTAGGGCAGTCACGTTACGTTCGAAAATAGATTGCACAATCGATCGGACCAACCAACAGTTTCGAAAACGAAAATAGGGCATTGATTAACAGCCTTTTTTTTATTTTATTTTTATTACCAAAAACGTGTTTTAGGAGGACAGATCAATAGAGTGCTGACGTTACGACATCACTCTGTAGGCCAAAACGCGGAAGTGAGTTAGCATTTTAGCACTCCCGGATCCCTCGCTCTGAATAGGGTTGGGTATCGAGAATCGAGTATCGATTGGAACCGGGACTAACTTTTCGTTTTTCCCGGAATCGTTCAAAAGTTAAAATTTCGATTTCTAGTTTCGATATTCACAGTCCGCCGAGCGGAAGAGGAAACCGCTGAACAACACCAACGAAGAAGCGTCTACCGGAAGTGTTGGCATAACCGCGCGAGTCGAACATGACTAGCTTACGTCGGCGGTCCAAAGTGTAGCTTCACTTTTCTAAAAATAACGAAATCTCGGCAAAATTTGTGACAAAAGGAGTATTTCCTTCAGAAAGACCGTTGGTTAGCAAGGTTAGCTAAACTTTTTTGACCATGCCTCTTAAAAGAATCAGAATCGAGAATCGTTAGGAATCGGAATCGAAACAAGGAATCGGAATCAGAATCGTTCAAATTCAAACGATACCCAACCCTAGCTCTGAAGTCTATGGGTTTTTGCTAAACTGCCTGAAATAAGGTCTGTGGTGAACAAAGCCTCTAAATATTTTCACGTTTTGATCTATGACATAGCACACACCAGTTATGCTTGTGGTTTTTTAAACTTTATTGTGTCTGCTTGTGTTTTTTTAACTTTATACCATTCAAAATGTATACATTTTGGATTAAATTGTAAAGATTATCTTGACAGACAAAACGTGTAAGGGTCACAACTCTTTGTTAAACACAGATCTTATTTTTTGCGATTTTCCAAAATTCTATGTGGAAAATGCATAGCTTTTCAATCGAGGGAACCCACGCGCCGCTAGCTTCCGAGTTGTCCTACAAAGTGACGTCATCACTTCGGCACTCTATACAGGATACAGAACGTGTAGGATGTTGGAAAATAACAATGTCTTTTGTTAACCAAATGCTTTTTAATATTCGCTATTACTTCAATGGAAGTGAACAAGCTTGCCGTAATTTGTTGTGTAGCGACGTGTGTGTGTGTTAGGGCTGTCAATATTACTCAAATACTATTCGAATTCCATTCCATATTTTATGTAATATTTTCGAATAATATTCATTCTATTATTAATATTTACGACATTACACATTCTTACGGATTGCCAATGCCACTATAGCCTGTGGTTGTTGTTACACGTTCTGCCCACTAGAGGGACATCTAACATTACTACAATAAACATTTAGATCGCTTTCTTATTAACAACACAAAAGCGTAACAAATGTGTGTCCATCGATATTAACTACCAGCTATACAGCGCACTAACCTCGAAAATACAGCTGTATTCTAATAATAACTTAGCTCACCTTATTAGATAGGCTCCTTGCATGCTGGCTAATAAGTTTTTTAAAGCTGGTTCTCCGACATTGACAGCGCTGTGTTGGACTGATTTGTGCGGCGGTGTTCTAAAGGGCAACATGATCAAGACTTTTGCGTCAACATACACACCACTTTCAAGTCAAGTGGCATGTTATCTATACGCATTTTGAGCCATTTCGTGAGATCAGTCTGCAAAGGAATAGTTTCTTTACTATTTGAATGGTAACTTCAGCATTCGAATAGTATTGTTTTTTTAAATATTTTAATTATATTACGAATTTTGGAATTCGTTCCAACAGCCCTAGTGAGTGTTCAAGTAAGCCAGAAATGCACAGATCAGATTCTGCGCAATACACTGTATTTAATATATCATGAGGATCACGAGTTGCGTATTTGCGCTAAAACCATTACACCCCTCATGGATTTGCATTATAATAATCGCAGTGTTGGAATGTAACAAAGTACAAATACTTTGTTACTTTACTTAAGTACATTTTTCACGCATCTTTACTTTACTTAAGTAAAATAAATAGTGCATACTTTTTACTTTTACTTCGTTACATTTTGCTGCAATTATTATACCTTCTACAACTTCTGTTACATTTTCATTACATATTCTGATCAGTTTTTCCCCTGCCAAAACGTAATTTGATCGTCCGTTCGTTGCACGTTTGTCTCACTAGTGACGTTTGGTTGCCATAGATGCATAAACTAAATGCGTCTCGCACGCAGTGTGTTTATCGTGCAATTTATACGCAATTTATATTAGTTTTTACGTGCATAGGAAACGCACTTTGTGTAATATACGTTTGGTTAGGATTATGGCAAGCCAAGAGGTTCAGAATTACACCATAAATTAATCGCGTTTACTGCCAAACATAGTTATTAACATATAGTAAGGATAAGCATGATATGTAGATATATTACCTAATTGCCAGCTTGTTTCAGAAATGGTGAGAACAATTTTTTTTCCATCATTATTGAACATCATTATAGGAGTATTAAGTTGAATGAGTTAGAATTAAATGTTTTATTAATTTTTACTTAAGTATGGTTGTCATTGTGTTACTTCTACTTTTACTAATGTAAATATTTATCTGGATATTTGTACTTTTACTTAAGTACTGAGATTCAGTACTTCCTCCACCACTGAATAATCGGCATCCCGCTTTCAGGTGTCCTGGCCGGTCACGACAACAGGGTGAGCTGTTTAGGAGTGAATGACGATGGGATGGCTGTGGCCACGGGATCATGGGACAGTTTCCTTCGGATCTGGAACTGAGAGCGTATTAAAAAAATCTCCAGGTCCAGTTTCCTTCCGTCCCATTTCTACGTCTTTCCACAGCAAGTCCTCTGTATTCCAGTTATTACACATGATTTTCAGTATCTAGTTCAATCCCGTGGAAAAGCCAATCGTCACCGCCGGCCACAGGAATCATAATACGAGATTATTAAAGTGTCATTGTGTAATATGTAAATATACATGTATATGAATATAGATATGGTATATATGTACAGCATTATGTGTATGTATATACCATATAGTATATACATACATAGTGTTCATGTATATATTTTTCTAGTTGATCATTGGCCCATGACATTTTTATTAATCTTTCTCTCTTTTTTTGTATTTTACTTTAATTTGTGTACATAGAAAACAACGCTAAACTAGACGGAACGTTGCGTATTGCAGTCTGTATTACAAAAAGTTTGTGAATTTATGGAGGTTTTCATACATTGGACAACAAAAGCGTAAAAGCAGCTTATTTTTTTTCTTTACACGCCACTAAATCAATCATTTATTGGTGTTTGGAACGAAGGCACTGAATTTTCTCAGCCTTGAGATTGAATGTTAGATTCGAAGCATCGTGACGCCTTGTTTTTAGGAGTCTTGCTTTTGATTGATAATGAAATTTATAATGTCGCTGCCCTTGAACTTTAGCCTTAATGCTAGTGATCACAACAGAACTAATCCTAGTATATCAATTCATATTTTGGTGCTTACAAAGGAAATCTGTGCTTTCGAATTAATTCATAACACTTGCTTTTTTCGGATTAGAAATGGCCACAAAACCTTCTCTTAAATGTTTTAACGTTGCAGTGTTACAAAGATGGAGCATACTGAAAGTATATATAATATTTTTGTGTGCATCATAGTTGATTAGGAGTCATTTGAATGCTGAGACTGTGTTTCTCAGTTTTAGCATGTAAATGTGTGCAAACAGGTGGAGATGAAGAACACTACCTGGTCAGGATGATTTCACTGCTCACTCAGTCACTATATTTGGCTTATTTTTTTCTGTGGATAAAAAAAAAAATGTAGATCAGAGCAATGAAGCTTCGCCATATTTATAAGTGCCATCGGTTCTGACAGTATGTCTCTGTGTGTGTTGAGGCTGTTTGAGATGTGTGTCAGTAACCAGCTTGATATCTTTTACCTTAACAAGCCTGATTAAAAATGATATTTGTGCCATTGTTAACACCTCATATAACTGTGAATAGAATTTAAAATCTTTCTCTTCGCCTTTTTTATATAAAAGGGAATTGGAAAGTGGCTTGAAATTATGTTGAGGTATTTAAGTGTATTTTGTCCTTTTACAGTATGAAAATCCTTTTTAGCATAAAACCATTACACACTTTAAAATTAATTTAGGGTTTAAAAAGTTTTTTTTTGTTGTTGATATTTTTTGATGTCTTTAATAGCAATGTCTCATTTAGAAATCACTTTGAATTCTACTATTAAACGGGAAATTTGTCTGCTGGTATTATCTGTATTGGTTAGAATTTAATTCAGATTTCTATTGTTGGTAATGTAGAGGTTGAAAGATTGCCAATCCACGGTTGTTTTATGATGGTCATGTTGAAGATTTGACTGGTTGGTTCCCGGATCAGCAGAAATGGACAGGTATAACATCTAACCGTCTTTATCCTTGGCTAATGGAGTCCTTTGGGCTTTAATGAAAAACATTGACATTGAAACGAGTTTGGATTTTATTTCACATTATTTCCAAAACATGCCAAACCACTCAAACTCTGCAACAAAAGGGTATTTTGCATGTTAGAACCCCAATGCTTTAAGTATTCATAATATACTTTTGGCTCATTTGTATGCTACATTACCTTTTTCTTTGAGCCAATAAAGCCAGGACTGTGGTGCCTGGTATAGACTTTCACAGTGCCATGTTTTCAAAAAATCAATTTTAATAACATTTTTTTTCCTCAATTTTTTTTGGTATTTGTAAAGTAACATGGTGATAAAGCTGCCATACACTGATATTGTAACCAATAAAAAGACTTTTAACCATATAAGATGTTTCTGTTTGATTGTCTCAATCTGCACATTTAAATGTGGATTGATAGGCCTAAAGATATGAACTCATTCAACTGAATGATCAAAACATTTTCAAAGTTTTCTCCAAAACGTAATTAAAAATATTCGTGAACGACAGAGAAACTGTTTTGACTTGCAAGTTTCCAACAAATTAAAATTATTATGTTAAAATAATATGTCATAAACCAGGATTTATCGTGGAAAAAATCACCTCAGAAATTCACTCAGTGTTCCGGGGCACGCGCTAATCCGAAAAAGCGCGCGATTTTCCAAGCCAAAGTCGATTTGACACAAGATAGCTATATATATATATATATATATATATATATAGGGTGAAAACTGCTCGGAAAGATCAGCTTTACAGCAAAATATAGATGGACAGACAAGGATGAGGAAGAAAAACAGAATAAATAGGAAGAAAACTAAAGATATAAATATATTTTGTTAGTTTGTGAGAGCTATTTTTGTTCAATCAACGTTAATAGAAACCGTAGTAAAACACACGCACATTACAGCAAACCTAACACGTCTCCGTCACGTCCAGTGTCAACATCGTCGAAATGTATTCACAATAGGCCCAAGTATTATACCGACACGATAATACCACCCCATACAAAATAACACATAAAAAAGATAATAATGAAATTAAACGACTTACTTGTTAGTTACGGAATGAGCCGGAGACTCCTCGCCATGAAATTGAAGTGTTGCAAGTTTCATGGGCCATGGTTTTCCTCAGCGTTAAATGAGCTGCTTCTTACTCTTTTTAAAAAGTATTTTTAATAGAATTTTGCTCAAAAATCCCTGGTGTTTTTCTAACATTTTTCAACTGCAAATTATACCTGAATGGCGAACACACACCAACAGACAGCAGGTGCAAAATGGCTGATAACACGCTAATTGCCTACAACAGATGTCAATCAAACAAGCATTCTGAAAACTGAAAACACTTTTTTTGAATTATAATATTATAATGTGCTGTTTTATATTGTTCTATGATAATGTTGTTGTATTTTTTGTAAATATATTCAAATCAAAACAATATTTTTAATAAATAAAAATGTTGTATAATAAAATTGAGGCTTAGGCCCGCCCATTATGCTTAATAGACCCGCCCATTGATTATACAAATATTTTATCTATTAATAAAAGCTTACATCACAATCTGTAGAATTTATTTTCTTGGGATTTATAGCGTTAAATCTACACTTCAAAACATCAGTTTGTTTCCCACAGTAATGGCATGCGTAGAACAATTTAGTAATGTTTTATCATTTATTACATTTGAGGAGCTTTTACATTGGATTACATTATTTTACATAATAGAAACAACAGGAAATTCATGAAGAGAATTTTAATACCGAGTTAGATTCAATGAAACTAATACCAAAGAACGTATAGAAAATAGGCTTTGTGATCAAAAGGCAAATCTACAAAATCGGATTTCCTTGTCTGATGGCAACTGCTTTGGAAGAAAAAGGCTTGGTATAAGTAAGTTTGTTCTAGGAAAAGTTTTACAGAACCATGAAGGAAATGTTTTCTTCATAGGGCCGTTTCACAGTTTACAAAATAGTGTTTCAGTGAGACAATCTCTGTACAGAAAAACTTCAACCGAAATAAACCAGCTTTAATTCTACAGTTTAACTAAAAGTAACATTTTCCCCCTCCACATTCCTCACAACATCTGTCGAGCTGAAAATTCCCAAAACAGCAGGGCATACAGTCTTCACGAGCGACGTCACTCTCTGAGCGTCCGTGCGAACTCAGATTCAGGGCTGAGGACGCAGATACTGGGAGCTGAAATCCTCCAACTGCTTTTCCAGAGCTGTGGCTTTATGTCTGTAAAAGTCAACACATCCATTATTACAAACAGCTCAAAATAATCAATATTACAGATGTGGAAAACTTTTCTAAGATGAAACCTAAAGCATAACAGAAGACAGAAATCTCAAGATGCATTTTTAAAGAGATGTTCATCTTTCTTTAGTTCATGTTGCTGTTTGAGCACGAAAAAGCTCCAGTTCTTCTCTATATGAGTGTAAGTATTTATGAACTCCTGAAACGGGAATCTCCTTTCTTCCGGGAAAGAACACGTCACAATATTCCTCATTATAATAATTAATACGCAGAATAAAGGGGCGGGGCATGCTTGAGTTAGTTAGTAGTGTGTTAAACTGACGGTTATGGAAATGGGGCGGGACATTTCCCAAACACACACTCGAAGCGCTCGACCAATCACGACACACTGCTCCAGCTGACCAATCAGAGCACAGTGTCCTTTACAGAAGGAGTGGCTTAATCGAGACAGGAACTAAACAGAGCAATACTGATAGACTGGGAAGAGAGGAGCCGCAATATGAAGAAAATAATGTGTTTATGAACATTTAAGCATGAAAACCAATTTTATTAGAGCCCCAAAACAATTAAGACCTTCAAAATCACATTAGGTTTAGGTTTTGACATCATTATCGAGGCCTGATTTTTTTTTAATATAGTGCCCTATAATGCCCTTTTCACAAGATAAAATAAATATTATTAAAATATAATTAAAATATTATTAAAATAAATCTCTGATGTCCCCAGAGTGTGTGTGTGAAGTTTAAAGGGTTAGTTCACCCATCATTTACTCACCCTTAAGTTGTTCCAAACCTCTATGTGTTTATTTGTTCTGCTGAACACAAAGGAAGATATTTGGAAGAATGTTTTAATCAAACAGATCTCATTCCCCAGTGACTACCGTATTATGTATTTTTTCCTACTATGGAAGTCAATCTGTTTGATTAAAACATTCTTCCAAATATCTCCCTTTGCTTTGAACTTGTAACTTTGCAGATGTTGTTTATGCTCAAACATCAACATTACACACTAACTAAAGTTAGAAAAGTGAAATCATAATCAACCACCCCTTTAAGTCTTGTAAGCGCCGTTGTATTACATGTAAACTGGGACAACGGGTTAATTCAATAAGCATATTTTGGGAGTTATCAGTGTAGGACGTAAATATGCTCAATGATGGCACAAATACTGTGCTGACCTGAGCACTTTAGATCGGTTCTGTACGGTTTCCAGCTTCTGGATCTTGTCAGTGAGGCGTTGGATTTCATTCTCCAGGTCCTTCTGGGTGATGTCAACTTGCTGGCAGAGTCGGGCGAACGTGCTGGCAATTTCCCTGTATAAGACAAACGAGAAGACTTATTAACTCTTGTGCATCAATTATAAAAAGTTACATATCTTGGTATCATTTCATCATTTTAAAGAAGACCCTTTTCTAGATTATTGCTGAAGTAAAAAAATAATAAGAAGACAATCCAAAAAAAAAAGTTATATAGGTATAAGTTTATGAAAATTATTTATAAAAAATATTTTATATAAAATATATATTTTATAAACAGGTTGAACTCAAAACTGCAATAAAATCAAAGCCATAAACCTAAATAGATTGTGTTCCAAATTTGAGGATGATATCTCAAAAAATGAGCTTTCGGTAACAGTTTGTTTGGGCGTAGTAACATATTTTCCCCATTGGGTCCCAGCAAAACCCCACTGGAGCTCACAGTGATTGGAGTTTTTCTCTCTCAGTATTACAAACACACACATGCGCACACACACATATTTTTTTATAACACACATACTAACCACACTCTGACATCCATACCAACACACCCACACAAATATCGTTGCATAATTTATCCAGTTGGCTCTATAATATGCCGAACCAGAAAACAGGAATAAAGCGACATTTGTTTTATAGGCCAAACTTTAAAAAAGACACCATCTGATAAAAAATAGTAAAAAATAAAATTTTGAAGCCTTGCCATCAGAATGAAAGCCTCTTAACAAAGATTGCATAATTTTATAGTTAACTTAACCGGGGATTAAAAATGGCAGTTTCAATGGGGACATTTTTGTCCAAAAGGTGCTGAGAGGGAGTATTTTTTGTACCTAATGCAAAAAATATTTTTTTAAGAAAATGACGGTGAAATAGTAAAATTCCAATAAAAAGTTTTTTGCAGTTAGCTTTAACACGGGCAAAGTGATAAAAAAAAAAAAAACTGAAAAGGACAAAAATGTCCATAAGGATGCACAAGGGTTAAGAATTATTTTCTATTTGCATGCACATGACAGCACTTCGAGCATAATTAAAAACTCAATTTCTGAGCAGCAATGAAAAATACTATACTATTATCAGCAAATAATATGGTAGTTCACTTATGCACATGAAGCCATATTTATCTCAAACAACTGCATGGACCATAACATAATTTCACCCTTTCTCACGGACAAAACTCTAACGCCAAATGGACTCGGGAGTGAAAATCCAGATGAACTCGTACTGTTGCACTTGGTGGCTGCAGTTGGAGCTGGTGAAACTGATGATCATTTGAAGTTTCTCGGTGGCGTACTCCACAAACTGTCCCTTCAGGGCTCTTTCCTTGGCTTTGGTTGTCCAGGTGAGTTTTTCAAACAGGTACAGCATGCCATACAGACTCATGGAGAGAGCGATCAGACGCCAGCCGACTGTTCGCCACACCTAACAAAAGGTATAGAGATGAACTTCAATGCACTCATTTGCACCCAGGAAAGTTTAAAAGTTGTTTGGTTCATTTTGCGGGCCAAATCCAGTCATTTTAATGGGAATTCACACGAGGCCAAATAAATTCCCCGACGCAGGTTACACAACATATCAAGTTGGTCTTGCGAATTCACAGATCCTTGCTTTGAAAGATCTGCATACGTTTCTACCAAGCGGCAACCTCCCCGTCTTTCTCTTGAAGCCAATACGGAAGTGAATTAAACTGCAATTTATCGAGTGGCCGCTTGAGGCAGGCTGCAGAAGCGAGTCAAATCTGTATCTCCCCCATGTTAAAATGCCCAACTTTACAGCAGAAAAAAACATGTTTACAGCCTGGAGCAAAAAGTGGCTTTGGTCTATTGAGCTCATTTTTCCCTTCATGACAACTGTGAGGGGGGTGAATTTTTTTACAACTCATCTGTTTACATTATATTTTAGCCTTAAATTTCTGCATAATTAAGGGCGTGGCCACTTGAGTGACAGGTGGATTCTTGCGGCCGCTTTCACTGCTAGTAGTTTGTCTGCTGTCTGTTAGCGTCACCCTCAGCTGTGTTTGTGCTTTTTCCGGGATTATTTCATACAATTTAATACATGTATTATACCTTCGCCCGTGCACGCCGTTGGATTCCGTCGTGTTGAGTATGGAGAGATCGACCAGCGCCGTGTTTCCAGCTGTTTCCCTCGCGTGCACTAATGGATGTCTGATAATTTCAGTGCTTTCTCTCCGTCCATGCAATAGATTCACACCCTTGAATGAGCGCGGATTTCTAGTTCATTTACTTGAAGTTCTGAAGTAATGTCTTTGGTTTGACCCATCCGAGAAACTGAGAGGCGGCCAAAATCGGATTGTAAAATGGACTGAATTAAAGCTCTTTACGAACTTGACGTGAGATGCCGACTGACATGTGTGCTTGCCTTGAATCACTGTCATGCACAAGCTTAGAGCAATATTGTAAGTAATTAATACATTTTTAACTAGCAGAATAATAATGCATCACGATGCACATAGTTGACTGCTTGTATGTTGTGAGAAATGTGTTTGATCTGTGTTAATGTATTTCTATACATGCTCTTAACTAATTGCCCCTTGTGAGATTAATAAAGTTGATAAAAAAGTCAAGTAAATAGTCTCACTTTTAGTTACGTCTTAACTATTATAATATTTCGAAGGGCAAAACATGAACTTTAACCATTGGCTTTACTTTTTCAATCAGCTGTCAATTCAGCGGCAGTAGCATAGCATTAGCACCTCAGCTCCACCCGCGTCACGCCTCTTTGCCCATTTTAATTTATCCGGTAGTGACGAGAGGTGACGCACTGCCAAGATGGCGACGGCCGGCCCCGCCCACTTTAGTCTTCAAAAACGCTCTTCAGAAACCTATGGGTGACGTCACGGACACTACGTCCATATTTTTTACAGTCTATGGTTTCTACACAATTGAACTTTCACAGGGAGTTCGATTGATGATCTGACCAATCATAATCCGCCATTTTTGTCCAACAAAGCAATATAGGGACTTCTGAAAAGCATTAATGTGACATAAAGTGAGATAATGAGGTAATTCTCACCACTCCTCCAACGATGACCACGCTCATAGATGTGCGCGAGGTGAGAGAGGCCAGGTTGTTCACCATTGACATCATGAGTTCCTCCTGCGCCACTGAAGCCTGAATCTGACCTTGACCTCCAGGACCTCTGGGGATCTGAGACTGAACCACCGCTGGTGCTGAAGGGGTGAGCGGTGCCGTCAGCTTAAAAAAACAATATAATAGACCATTAAAACTTTAAATCGAGTCTGAAAGCAGGTCAGGATGTGTAGGCTGAAGCGTTTCAGACATAAACAGATCAAAGAGCATCTCATTGTATACCCATTTGACTTTAGCTGATGCATGTACAGTCAAACCAAAAATTATTCAGACACATTTCTCACATTATCACAGATTATTTGCTATAGTTTAGAAAAATGGTAATAAAATAAGACAAAAGCTCAGAGTTATCAAATCAGTTGATATTTCAGTGGTTTTGTCTCGAATATCGGTCAGCTGTTCGATTAAACTACACAATAAGATACTACTAATTCAAGTCAAAGCAATGCTTCATGTGTTCAGTCTGTTTTGTAAAAAGGTCGCATTAGCAATTACAGAAAAAAAAAAAACATTTAAGCAAAACATTTTAACCCTTTAGGCGCCAGAGTTTTTCAAAAACGTTTGATTTTGACATCTTAATTTCAACAGACAATATCTTAAAAGTGAAACAAGATAGATACTTTCTGTAAATTAGAGAAATATTAAGGATGACCCAAAGTTTATGTAGGGATAAAATTTCCCCATCTAATTTGCAAATTATGACGTCATATGGTGGCAGAAATCTTGGATTATATAATTTTCATGAAAAGTCACATGTTTAAATGATGCTATATTGCACAATACACAATACAATATAGCATAGAAGTATGCTATATTGCACAATACTGAATGCTCAGGTATATAGTAAGTAATAAACAAACTGTGTAAATCATTACTAATAAATGGTAGAACAAACCGTATGCATGTACAGTAGTGGTTGGCCTTTTGCTGTGGAGATTTTCCATTTACTACATTCAGTAGGCACTCTGATTCAATGTCTGGGGCTTATATTATTCATATGACACACAAACACAAGTAGACAAGACCTATTTAGTTCAAAAGATCACTCGTTAGGGCAAAGCGCAGATCATGAAGCGATCGCGGCCAGATCTGCCAAGTATGCATACTATTGTGACTCCCCATCCTGCCTTCACATTACCCCCTATCTGTACTATGAAAACTTTGACCTTGTCTAACATACTCAGTGATAATAAACAAAGTCTCCAAACACAATACTATCGCCATGATCGCGGAGAGGCTCTGATGAAATGGCTCACTCTCACACGCTTTTGATTACACTGATTCAATGCGCTGTAACTCGAACATTTTGTATAGAAACATGACGTTTTTTGTGTCGGGGATGAAGTATGACATGTCTGCCATTCAGTGGAGGGGGATGTCGAATGAAATTTGACACCCAATTTGACAAAATCGGCCGTTTTATTCAGTAAACTCGACCGTGGCGCCTAGAAGGTCAAAGTGTCGGAATCATTTTTGGTCGCAAATTTACTTGTAGTCCATTGTATGACTGAAAATTTCCTTTATTTTGCTCTCCTCACTTGCATATAATAACTATAGTGTCCTGCACACACTAGTAAAAACAAATATCAGTGATTATATCTGGTGTCTGAATAATTTTTGGTTTGACTGTACCTGCAGTTTCTGATCCACCAGCATCAAGGCACGCCTGCCGTTGACAGGACCCAGGAAACGGTGGACCAGGGCGGTCCAGCCCAAAGAGAACTGGAACTCAATGTTTTCCTGGAAGTCTGAGCAGAGAGTGGCGCAGTTCAGGTCGTAGCTGAGCTCGAACTTCCTGCAGGGAATGAGCATGTGGAGCTGGTTCTGCATCGCGGAGGGCAACAGAGGCTTCAGGCACTCTGGAGAGAGAATAGGCAGGTATTACTACACTCACTCATTATCTTCACTCCCATCTTCAGGGAACTGCTACAGTACATACATTAAGAGTTTTGGTTCCTTGCCACTGTTGCCTTGGATTTTGGCTTGCTCAGTTGGGGACATTAAGGGTTAATGCCCGACGAGGCGTCCATTTTAAGGTATTAATGGACGGTGAGGCGTGAACCCATTAAGTCCATTAAGACAATGGACACCTCGAAGGGCATTAACCCGCTTATACCACGGTCACTTGCCAAATAACACATTTTTTCAAACATTAGTTCATATTAGGGCTGTGGAAAAATTAATTGCGATTAATCGCATCTAAAATAAAAGTCTGTGTTTACATAATATATTTGTGTGTGCTGTATATAATTATTTTGTATATATAAATACACACAGATGCATGTATATATTTAAGACAATGTGTTATTCATATATCAAATATTTATATTTATATAATTTAGATTATGTATTTATATATATATACAGAATTTAAGCGCAAATAATTCTTAAATATATACATGCATGCAAAGGTATTTATATATATACAAAATAATTATATACAGCACACACAAATATATTATGTAAACACAGACTTTTATTTTGGATGCGATTAATCGCAATTAATTTGATACAATAAATTGTGAACGAATACTTTGACTGCCTGTTACTATGGTTACTCACAGCTGATGTAGCCAGCGCATTTATTTATTAATTTTATTTATTTATTTATTAAAACGGTAATGTTTAATTAATTTATTTAATAAAACGCTTTTATTTTTTATTATTTATTTTTTTTATAAAAATGGTAAACAGTCACTTTCACCAGAACTCCTTTACTAGGTGTCCTCTATGACTTTTAATGGACAGTCTGCAGCCAATCAGAATCGAGTATTCACCCAGACCATAGTATAATATTCAATAATATTATTGATCTGCCTCATGTAAGGTGGATGATGACGCAATTTTCTTCTAGAAACAAACTTTGTTGTATTATTTTCATGTTATCACTGTGAAGCTGCTTTGATACAATCTCTATTATAAAAAGCACTATATAAATAAATGCGACTTGACTTGACTTGATAATGCAGGGCTCGACAGTGTGTGAGCATTTCATTTACGACAAAATACATGTGGGAACTGTAAGATGTATTAAAAAGCATGTGTGCAAATAAAAAAAGGCTATAATTTCATCAAATATATATGAGCAGTACACATTTCAAAGTGATGTAGCATAATTAAATCTTCCAGAGAGCCAGATAACGCACTAATGTTTGTAAAGAACTACATAAGCAACACTTCACCGGTTATCAGACATTATCTATTAATAGGACTGTCACCTTCTGCTGTTTGAATATCAAACACGGGTCATTGTGTGTGCCCAGGACCTGGCGTTCTCACATACCGATCATGTCTTTCTGAGAGGACTGTACAGAGTGGTTTACAGCATCAGAACAGCGGAAGGCCAGATTCTTGCCCATGCCCTGCTCAATATGGCTGAGGAGATCCTGAAAATACGAGTGAAAAATAACAGGTTAACTCTGCTCATCCATTCACAAAACATGAAACCGTTGATAAATATCTATTCTGAGTTTGACTTTTAAGAGGCGAGGGTAAACTCACAGATTTGTAGATTTTAAGCACATTGGGTGACGGGTGAAAATCCGAATTAAACTCGTCTATGAGCACAGAGAGACGGCAGATCTCTTCTGCCATGGCATTCGACACCTGAGACACACACACACACACACACACACATTAAATCTGCTGTGGATGCTAAGTTGAAAGATGGGTCGGATTACACATAAATAGGAGTGGGTCACATGACAGCAAAATTTTTTTTTAATTGAATTTTCAAAATTACAGAATTTTGAATTTTCACATTTCGTAAGTATAACTTGAAACCACAATAATTTGGGGGAAAAGAAACAAAAGATAAAGGGCATCACAAAAATATATTAAATTCATTTAGCAGAGATACAGATCTTTGGGCTTTTCTGTTTTTAAAAAAAGGACTTAAAATACATTTTAAATGCTTCTTTTAAATGAGCAAAGTTGGGTTCCTCCATTTATGAAATTTTCCTAACATAAAAAAAACTAAATCGATAACATACATTTTTCTTTTAGAAAAGTCTAATTAATTTGTATGAAGTAAGTCAGATGACAAATTTAAGACAAGGTTGCAGTTCATTTTAACACCTAGAAATTGAGACATCTCATACCAAAAGATTGAAGAACAGCAAGACTTACTAACTAGGAAGTATAAAAACAACTTGAAATTTAAGATTGTTGTTAGTTATTATGATACAATTGGAATTAATCAAATTGAATTCTGATGTTTAAAATCATGACGTGGAATTTGGAATGTAAATGCATGTGGTTTTATCATCAAGGTGAACAGTTTCTCTGGTTTACCTTGTTTTCTACCTCCTTTGTGATGGCCTCGATTTTTTTCTTGATGTCCTGGATGAGCAGGTTTAGTTGATTGCGGACAAAATCCAGTCGGTCAATTAGATACTCTCTCTCCTCCAGAGAGACGATCCTGCGATCAGACACAACACGTGTGACTACATGAGCGAAGACAGTGAAGCTCTGAGATCAGACATGTAAGGGATAATCCATGGCTAGCTGTGCGTTACATGATTTTAATGCACAACTTGGAGGCAAAGAAACAGGCGATTGAAAGTGAAGTGCATTAAAATCGTTATCCCGCTTATACCATGGTCATTTGCCAGTAATATTTATTATATATTATATATATATTTATTTATTATTAATATAATATTTGTGTCAGTTCCCTGCCTGCTTTGAATCAGACAATAGGTAAAGTAGTGCATAAAATTAAATTTATTTAAATTAGGGCTGTGCAAAGATTAATTGCGATTAATTAATCGCATCCCAAAATAAAAGTTTGTGTTTACAAAATATATGTGTGTGTGCTGTGTATAATTATTTTGTATATGTAAATACATATGCATGCATGCAGATATTTCAGAATTATTTGCATGTAAATACTGTATATTTACAAATACATAATCTATATTATATATATAAATATAAATATTTTACATATGAATAACACATTTTCTTAAATATATACATGCATGTGTGTGTATTTATATATACAAAATAATAATACACATCACACACAAATATATTATTGTACGTAAACACAAACTTTTATTTTGGATAGCAATTAATCTTTGCACAGCCCTAGTTTAAATACATTTAATTTAATATATTAAACTGACTTGGAACTACCTGTGCATTAAACAGTTTTATTACACACCTTCCAGCCAATCAGAATTGAGTATTCAGACGAACTATGGTATAATGGTACTTATACCATGGTGATTGCTATTTATTTTTTAGTTTTACTTTATTTATTTCCAGTTAATAATTCAGTTTATAGCCAAGGCAACATTTCTGAATTTCATTTAGTTTAAGTTTTTCAACTAATATGTCTCTTTTATTTAATTTTAGCTTTATTTCAAACAAAACCGTTTTATTAGTTGAAGCTCCAAAATAGTGAAGAGCTCCAAAATAATCCGCACTCGTGGTTTAACAGGACCTTCTGGTACATTATTCCTGTGACAAAACAAGGAGAAAAGAAGACAGGACGCACCTCTTGTCTGCGGCGGTGATGTTGATTTGATCCATGATGTCTTTGACCGTTTCAGTGATCTGCTTTGCTCTGATTGTGTGGTGCTCAAACTTTGTTTTCACTGCTGAATGCGAGATACACTCCTGCGAGGTCATACGCACACACACACACACACACGCTACTGTGACAGGAGCCGACTTTGTGACTTTAAAGGGTTAAAGGTTCAAACCTGCTGCAGCCGTAAAACTAAATCGTCCGAAATTAAAATCAAAAACTGCAGCAAATCTAAACCCTAAACGTCAACGACTCTCCAATTCACCTCACAGCAGCATGAACATAACAGAAAACATCAATAAAACAATGCAATGAACCAAACATGAAAACAATCGCAATCACAGTAAGGTCAAAAAGTCTCAGAGCACCACATTTTCTTATTTACCATTTGACCAAATCGACCAAAACTTTTTGGTTTAAATAAAATGTGGCATCAGATTCTTTTTTCGATCACTGTATTTGTGGGATTCTTCTAGAAATCATAATCAACAAAAGTGCATTTGTTTCAACACACAAAAAAAGTAAAATAACTCCATCCACACCGAACCAACAGAAAGAAGAGGGTGAAACAGAAATTCAAACTGAACCCAAGAAACAAATGTCCTCGCCTTAGTAAATCTAGACTTCAGCAATGACGACACAGATTGAAGATGTGCACAGAGACGCTCACAGTGGAGAGAGACTAAACTTCACCAGGATAAACACACGCAATCATATCAAAAGAAGAAGTGAGCTACTCTACAAGTAGTCTTAATATGCAATATGAATATGAGGAATTAATATGTAAATAAATTGTGACTCGAACAAGGTCTTTCAAGAACATCATCCCAAAGTTGATGTAAAAAATAAGAAATTATGGATTTTTATAAAGAAAATAAAGCAAATTTTAAGACTGATAAGATGTTTTACATCTCAATGGTTCTAATAATAGCTTCATTTCCATTATGAACAATATATCTTTAATTTTGAAGTGTTTGTGATATTCATTATCTTCAGTGCAAAAGCTGGACTCTCTTAAATAACTAGTGCTGATTAACAAATCTCTAGTGATGCAATGGTTCACTGAACTAAGGTATATAGGGATTGCACATTTTAGCACTTACATTTCTTCTATCGCACATTTGCGTTGCTTCTTTATCGGACACACACCAAAGTCTTCAAACAGATATCAGCCGACCTGGACTGAGTTTATCTGTAAACTGTTTCACCCACAGCTTACTGTAAATATGAGTTAATCATCCAAATCTGTGCACTAAATATTCAGTAGAGATTCCAGTTCCATCTTAGATTGCATTGCTAAGGCAGCTATTAAATACAAATGTAATGTACCACCCAACTAGATGCAATGCGATTCCAATGCAAGCAATTTTTCTGTTTGCAACAGTGTTGCCAGATTGGAAATATCCAAGTATCGTACCAGAAGCTCAAATATGATAATTATCGTACGTCTGGCAACACTGGTCTGTAACTACATCAATACAAAAAAAAATCACAGCCAATTAGAAGAGTGTGTGGGCGGAGTCTCTCTGCAAACTCAGAGTGCACTCGCAACCAAATCAATCAAGAATCACAGCCAATCAGAAGACAGTGTGGGCGGAGTCTCTCTGCAAACTCAATGCACTCGCAACCAAATCAATCAAGAATCACAGCCAATCAGAAGACAGTGTGGGCGGAGTCTCTCTGCAAACACACGGCTCTCACAACAAAATGGATAAATAACAGGCAACACAAAACGATATTCAAACGCACATTCAATTATTTTAACCCTAGATAATGCGGATAAATCAATACTATTGATTAGAGATTAGAGAATAAATTAGAGATTACCATTGTCATTCTTTGTGTTAGGGCTAGTTGGGTAATCGACTTCATCAACCACTGGTCGGCAATGTATTTTAACACTCACTAAACATAACACGCTTGTTTTTCTAAACACAAACCAGCAAGCCATGAAAGCAACAGGAGGATGATGACAGCGAATAGACAACATGAATTTTGTCTCATTCTACTATAGAAGATCTATGCATAAGACACAGATTATAATGTGTCTAAAATATAATCTCCTGTTGCTCATCGTGAATCGCTGGTTAGAACAAAAACTCTGATTAACATGGAAAATATGCCTTTTATCGCGTGTCGGTTATAACAGGCATTAGTCTTGTTTTTGTGCCATCATGTAGAGTTCTTCTATCTAGCAAACGCAATATCTGCTCCTACTTGCCTCGAACAATCTCTCAAACGTCTGGAACTCCTTCAGTCGGTCCTGAAACCCCTCAGCGAGAGCACCACCTGTAAACACACACAAGCATCTTTATCAAGCTCTAAACACACACTTGCTTGCAGTGCGAGTATGTTTTTCTTTTCATCTCAAAAATATATATATTTTTGTAAAATAAATATATATTTATTAAAAAATAAAATAAAAATAAAAATATATTTGCGGATATATTAAAGGTACCATGTAATTTTTTTTGTTCAAAAGTTTTAGTTACTTGTAAAAAAGTGTCCAAATATATATATATATATATATATATTAGGGCTGTCAAACGATTAATCGCATCCAAAATAAAAGTTTGTGTTTACGTAATATATGTGGGTGCACTGTGTATAATTATTTTGTATATATAAATACACACATGCATGTATATTTAAGAAAATATTTATATCTATATATAATATAAATTATATATAAATCTATATACAGTATATACATGAAAATATTTCCTAAATATATAGAAGCATGTGTGTGTATTTATTTATATATATAAAATAATTATACACAGTGGACCCACATATATTATGTAAACACAAACTTTTATTTTGGATGCGATTAATCGCGATTAATTGTTTGACAGCCCTAATAAATAATTATATATTTAAAAAAAAAATTACCTGTACCGTACCGTACCTGTGCAAATGGCAATAAACTTTCAACTTTGAAACTTATATAAAACAAAAAAATGTACCTAAAATGTATTTTAAGACTGGAAATCTATTTTCTTGTCCCATTATTTTACATTGTGTAACATATTTTTGCATTTGAGGTTTAAAATAAATACATTTTCAAATTGACAAACAATTTGAAATACATTTTGGTCAGAAAAAAACAAACAAAATCACTTCAGTTAATCAAACTCACAAAATCACGTATGAAATTCACTTTTATGTGGTGAAAGTGTGAAAACTGAAATTTCCAGCACTATGACTCTTAAAAGGCAGACTATCATATCAAAGGTGATGCGTGTGTCCCATGTCGTTTAATAATAAAATACATTACAAAAAAAATGCCATGACAGATCATTTTTTAGATTACCCAAATCTATCATTCTCATCCACTAGATGTCATGCGGGCAGTGAGTATCTGGCTCTGCCACGTGAACCCTCTCAAGATCACACTCTTACCGGTCTCTGGCATACCCTGCGCCCGCTGCATCCGCGAGTTCAGCACCTCCTTCGCCGACACAAAGAAAATACGGTTCGGCGCCTGTGCGCGATCCACGACCTTCAGCTCTTCCACCAGGAAGTTCACACACCTGTCCGTGTGCTGCTTACGCACCTGAGACCATTAAAACAACCCCAAATCAATACAATGGCATATCCGAGAAAGACATAGATTTCATTTTGCTTCAGAAACACAAACTCACGTCCTCCATGTATTCCGGCTCGTTAGCAGAAGCATCCCAGCGATTGTTCAGGATGAAGATGTTGGGCTTTGAGAGGCGTTCGTTGACCTTGTGGAAGAAATGCTTCTCCTTTAAAAAGAAATAACAAAGAGGTTGATGAGGTTGGGTTTACTAGGGGTCGTGTTATGGAAACACTGTACACACACACACACACACACACTGGCAGTGTAAAGACAACACGTGTTCACTTTTATTAAATCAGCTGTTGAGCAGCAATAAACCACTCAAGGGCGTAGGAACGTCTTTGACATTGGGGGGTACATACTTGCCACTATGAATCAACGTCTATCCCACCACCAAAATAGTAACATACAGTTTGACGATTATTGACACAAATGTCACGCAATAATGATTCATTATAAATAAATACAGTGTTAATACAAAATAAATACTTAAAAAAAATAGATGCCTACTTAAATAAAAAAGTTTTAACTTTTACTTTACTCTTTTACTAACTCTTTGAAACTTCTTAAAATAAACCATGTCAAAATATGTAAAAAAAATAAATTATTTGCTAAAATAATGACAGAGCTGAGAAATCAGAAACAAAATAAAAGCAAGGGTTCAATAATGACAATTATTGTTGAAAAGTTTAAAAATATTATTATTTCTCAACTTTCTCAATACGGTGTAACTGTCCTCAAAATCTTTTATTATTATTATTATTATTATTGTAACATATATTTTATAGAAATATATATATATGGAAAGCTTCAACAGACTTAAGTAAACTAATGAATATATAAAGAAATCGTTAAATAAGAAATGGAAAGTGAAGTACAAATTCAATATAAGAAGAAATAAATAAGACAGTGTACATTTATCTTATCATGTGATGTGAAATACAAAACGAAATATTATTTTATCCATTTATTCGCAACATTTTATTTCAGAGTGTATTTCATTTCGTGCTTCACATTCTGATTCAGATTTCACATCTGAAAAAATATCTTATCTATGCTCACATTTAATTTTACTTTGATTTATTTAGTGCAACCTAATAACTTCATTATATAATTTTAGTTAAATACTTCCATATGTATACGCAATAAGGTCATACACTGTTACATTGTTTTAATTTTAAACAAAGTTTTAGGAATGTAGTATTTTTTTTAAATATGTCTAATTTTTATTTCAGTTTTAATTATTTAGTACATCAAGATAAATAAAAGGAAACAAAGAAATGCTGCCTTGGTTCAAATAATAATATAATATATATTTTTAATAGTTTATTCAGTTCATGTTTATTTGATTTGACATATCTAAAATGTTTGAATGGTTTAAGTTTTATAAAAACCCCGTATTTTCTTCATGTTTTTGCATGAGTAATGCCGCGGATGTCATTTATAATGGCTTGTTTATCCACCGTTTATGAAAATCCCCCGAGAGAGGCCCTGAAACCAACTAAAGCATCCTGGGATAGCAGGCATGTGTCCGTCTGTGCGTGATCTAAAGGCAGCACTGCATTCTTCTGAACTGAACGCAACCAAACACTGAGCAACCCCTCCTCCTCCTCCTTCTGCATACTTTCCCATATTAGCACACTAAAAACACTTCACACCATGTGACATCGCATGCCAGTCAGATTAATGTTCGACGGTTTCCCTCCTGCTTTATTTTTAATACAGTGCACGACTCACCGTGTTCATGAGTGTAGATTCAGAGTTGGCCACCAACACGAACACATCCGCATCCAGACAGAACTTGTCGATCCAGCTGTCCAGCTGTGTGGTGACGTCAGTTCCAGGGCTGAAAGAACAAAAAGTTAAACGTACAAGCTTTACTCTTTATACTATGCTACAATGGGATTTTGGGCCGATGGAAGTGTACCTGTCCACCAGAACCAGGTCGTCTCGGAGCAGGGCACACTTCGTCTTGGGCCAGAAGACTTTTACCAGACAGCCAGCATCCAAACTCTCATCCATGTGTAGTGCGTGAGCCAACTGATTTACTGTCTGCAGAGGAAAAGTGTATTTGACCTTCATCATGTGCACTTTAAGAGGCCGTTTGATGACTATAAACTAGGGCTGTGCAAAAATGAATTGCGATTAATCGCATCCAAAATAAAAGTCTGTGTTTACATAATATATTTGTGTGTGCTGTATATAATTATTTTGTATATATAAATACACACAGATGCATGTATATATTTAAGAAAATGTGTTATTCATATATAAAATATTTATATTTATATAATTTAGATTATGTATTTATATATATATATATATACAGAATTTAAGCGCAAATAATTCTTAAATATATACATGCATGCAAAGGTATTTATATATATACAAAATAATTATATACAGCACACACAAATATATTATGTAAACACAGACTTTTATTTTGAATGCGATTAATCGCAATTAATTTTTGCACAGCCCTACTATAAACACTATTATATGTGCAATTCATTCTTTTTATTGTTGCTTTTTTAAGTTTTTGACGTACTGTAAACTCTATTCACGGTCGCGCTGTTTCTCACACACACGCAAAGAGAGAGTCTTACATGCCACACAAAATCGATGCGTTGTATGTGAACGATTTTATTTGTTGCATTTTCCTTTCAAAACAGCTTTTAAGAACAAACATAAGATATGACAGTTTCTCATCAATCCTAAGTGCGTTGTATATTGTTATTAGTAGAAGATTTTGTAGTAGTATTATTATCTATTATTATTTTTTATTTTAAACAGAAATACTGAATGACCAACATTATCTACCAGTCCAAAGTTCAGTTAAGATGACAAATATGCATTGATGCATGGTTTCCAAGTTTTAGTTATAAGTTTTAGTTATAATTACTTCTATACTTCTAGTTATTTTATAACGTTCTATCGTTAAATAGTGCTCGGTTATTATAATATAATGCTTGATTAACTGATGTAAGAGTGTATGTGCAGATATTTAAAAAGCGGTGCCATTTTACCAAGATAAGCTGATTTGGTGAAATCACATATATAAATCATATACATTTACATTTATTCATTTAGCAGACACTTTTATCTAAAGCGACTTACAAATTATAACAAAAGAAGCAGTTAAACTAACAATAGGACAACAATATGCAAATGCTATGACCATTTCCGGTTTAATATAAGTAACCTGTACATTGTACGTAGTGCATGTACATTTTTTAATGTTATTTTTATAAATAGATGTAGAATAGAAGAGAAAGTGTTATGGACTCTCTCACTCTCATCTATATATATATATATATATGCATATACCATAGTCAACATTTGAAGTGGATCAAAACCTTTCAACAAAGTTATTAGGGTTGTGAAACGATTAATCGCGAATAATCGGATCCAAAATAAAAGTTTGTGTTTATATAATATATGAGAGTGTAGTGTGTATAATTATTTTGTATATATAAAAACACACACATGCATGTATATATTTAAGAAATATTTGCATGTATATACTGTATATATATTTATACAAAATTAATATTATACATAAATATAAATATTTGATATATTAATAACACATTTTTCTTAAATATATACATGCATATGTGTGAATTTATATATACAAAATAATTATACACACTACACGCACATATATTATGTAAACAAAAACTTTTATTTTGGATGCGATTAATGGCGATTAATCGTTTCACAGCCCTAAAAGTTATACCCGTCCTTGTCATAGGACAACTTTGATGAACTTTTTTGATCCACTTCAAATGTTGACTACTTTATATAAAACAGAATATCAGTCCGGCGATTCTATTTTGCCTATATCTATATCTATCGTGTGTTGAATAGGAGAAAACATGCACTTGTCTATACCTTGATGCTTTTCTCCTCCTCGGACCCTTCGGTCTTCAGGAAGGCCTTATCCTCGTCCGTTCCCTCCACGCTGAGGAAGCAGTTGGTGGTGTGACCGATGCCGCTGGGCAGCACGCGGTCATGCAGCATGGCGTTCACGACTGTGCTCTTACCATTGCTTGTTCTGATAAAATCACGAACAGAGGATGTTTGTAACATTTACTGAAGTGAATCACGTGAGGAACTTCTGGTCAAACACAAAACTCACCTGCCGAAAAAGGCCACCTTCATATGATTGCGAGATAACACCCCTTTAATGTCGGACAGTTTGCTTGTGTACGTCTCGATCTCATTCAGCTGGCTCTTGTTTGCAATATTCTCCAGCGTCTCATTATTAGAGGTTTCTATTGACAAAAAGAATAAACAAAACACATGCAAATATTACAAACCCTTCACAACGAACACACCAATCCTACTTTGGCAACTGTTGCTGTCTGTTAGACCAGCTTTTCTACTGATCTAATCAAGTCATTGGAGAATCTTTGTGATTGGATATTTTGAACGGATGATTACCTTTCACAAACTCAGAGCCCTCCTGAACGTAATCTAAGAGCTGCTCAAAAACCTCGCCGATCTTCTTTTTGGCCAGCACAAAACGCTTCAGCGGAGAACGATCGGACTGCTCCATTTCCACACCTGTACTGGGAATAATTCAGAAACATCCGCAAATTCAGAAATTCAGAAGAAAAAAAAAGAGAAACTTATCATTTATAAATTATATTTATTACTCACTCTTATCTTCAAGACTTTCACATCAGAGCTGTCAAAACTGGAAAACAAAATAAATTAGATTTTGAGGTTAATTAATATGGAAACTCTTCTAATAAACTCAAATGTAATATAACATTACCATGTTACTATTACTATGTGTTTTGTGCTATTATAATACACTGGTTTTCTTTTAGGTAACCCGGAGTATAATGTAAACAAAATCATGGTAGTTTACAATTACGTTAAGTCAGGAATACAAAAGTGAAACTAACTAATGATGTAACATAAGACACAGACAAAATTATTAACAGCCTGTTGGCTTACAGGGTAAAATTGTAAATATACGATTAACGAAATGTTTACATTCCTATAACGTCAATGAACATAATTATTTAAAATGCAAGAGTATTGTATTTTAAAAATAGTCATAAAAGTTCAATTTTATAAACTGTTAACTAATAAGTTACTAATCTGAATCCTGTAAGACAATTAACTTACTCTCTGGTTGTATAAAAACTAAATATTTAACGTTAGTTGAATTGTCAAATGTTTGTAACGTTAGAGGTGACATGAGCTTTTAGCGCTAGCGCACGAGACACATGATTTGCTAATCAGGAAAAATACCTGATTAAAATACTTAACTTTCCTTCTTTATGTATCGATATCCTCGCATAATCAGTACAAATGTTATAAAACATATGAATAACACATCTCACCCAATCTCAGGGATGTTAAATCCACTCCTGTCATGACAAACACACACCGCCTGACAGACCGACACTGAACCTCTAAGATTTCAAAATAAAAGTCCCAGAAGAGAATACTAATTTCAAAGTAAAAGTCTCAGGAGAGAAAACTACTTTCAAAATAAATGTCACAAGAGAACAGATAACTGTGTATTTACATTCAGTATCAGTCCGAATGCTGTACTTTGGCCATTCAATAGCTTTGTTTGTCACAATAAAAAAATACCTATTAATTTTTTTTAGGATGTCAGAACCAACCTTATGTGATTAAACATAGACAACAGACATTGTGAAATCTCAACAATTTCTTTATTTTTAACTTGATGAAATGCAATTATGTATAAAGTTAAATCAGCATTATACATTACACAGACATCAAAACCATACTTTGCTGATAAATTACATAAGCAGTAATTACTTTATATTATAATTGAATTTATCAAGGCAAGGCAAGTTTATTTATAAGTACATTTTTCACACAATGGTAAATTAAAGTGTCGGCTATAATAATGTTTATAGACTATAATATATAGCCTATATATTATATATTTCAATATTATACAACAATATCAAAATAAAAGCAAGGGAATTTAAAACAGTTGTAAAAAGGGAATTAAAAGAGTAAAAAAATATATACATAGATAAACGTCTCATCTGGCAAAACACTGGTGTATCATATTTTTGTTGATTGTACTGCTCTTTGGCGCGTCTAAGTAATGTTTTTGACGTCTCCAATAGATCAGATTTTTCCCTAAAATCACACAGAAAGAGCTCTAGGAACTCGAACATATTAATAACTAGAAAACACATAGTTTTATAATTTTATAGTTTTATAAAAAGTTTTATAAACACATATAATTGCAAAGTTTACAAGAAAACACTAGAAAACACATATTTAACATATAAATGCAAACTGTTTTTTAGGAATGCATTGTTTGAAGTTTGGATGCATTATCTGACGTCTCTGGGTTCTGTGGATCTTCCAGATCTCTGGATTCTGAGTTTGTGTCATATCCTGATGTTTTAGATGTGCTGTATTCCTCACATTTCTGGAGCCAGTTCATCACCATTAGATTCGTTTCACCTGTATGTCATGAATATGAAAAAGAATGAATTTTGGCACGTTGTTAAACAAAACAAAAAACTGAAGAAAATATTTTCCTTTAAGCAATGTGATTCATCATGTAAATCTGTAATAAGTCACCATATGATGCTTCGGGATTCAGAATGTTCACCATCCCATCCATTATAATTGCTTCCCATCTTGATACTTCTCTCCTCATCTTCTCCTTCAGTTCATCATCATTCGACACTAGAAGAGGAAGATGACACAGAAAAGTGCTCAGATATAACATTTATAGAAGTCATTTGCTATAATATCTATGGAAATTAGATAGAATTGCTCATTTACAATCTGGAGGTTGTCCTATGCTCCATTTGTCTGCTATATCTAAGGTTATCCCTAATTCTTCTAGCTTTGTTCTGATCTCTTCACGCCTGTTCTTCATCTCCTGGTACATCAGTTTCAGTAACTGGTGGTCAGTGTTCAGAGTTTTTTCCTCGTCGTGTTGTGTGTCAGACACACGAACGGCAGATTGATTTTCGAGACTGAACAGACTGTTTTCTGCCACCATCTCGTCGATCTTCTGGAGCAGCTCCGTGACTTGAGATCGACTCTTGTCTGTGTTGTCGAACACATGATATCTGTTCCTGCATTTCTGGATCAGCCACTGAAGCGCTTCCCCTTCGCTCTCGATGTGCTGCTCGATCGAGATGTCTGGAAACCTGTCGCCCCACGTGAACAGAACTATAGTGTGTCTCCAGACGTCTTCTCCAAGAATGGCCATGCGATCTTTAATGATTCTTTTCTGTTCATCCTTGAATGAAGTATCAATAGGAATCGTCAAGATCAGGGCGTGAGGGAACCGCATGTGTTGTGATTGGCTCATGCTCTCCAGGGTTGTTGTAGCCTGAGAACACTTCGGGTTGAATTTAGAGGAGAAATACTTCCACCAGCTCGGGGTGTCCAACACCGTTATTTTTCTGCCGTTTACATCACCTGAATAATATGTGCCCGTTTGTGATTTTTCTACATCACATTTGTTATTGAAGATGGTGTTTGCGGTTGCACTCTTCCCAGACAGAATCCAACCCAGCAGAACGATCCTCAGTTTATAGAGCGGAGCCACGGCTTCTTCTCCAAAAAACAAACAAACAATAGAATTAGAATTTCAGAATTTCATTAGAATTTTTTTTTTTTGTAATAATTTGTAATAATTACACATTTTAAATCGATAAGTTGAAGCATCACAAAGTGCTCATCATCATATATTCAAAGCGAATACTTACTTTTTTCTTAAATATATAACCCACATCTTAAAAGGTTTTAAGATGTGGGTTAGATATTTAAGAAAAAAGTAAGTATTCGTATTGAATATATGATGAGCACTTTGTGATGCTTCAACTCATCGATTTAAAATTTGTATTTATTGTTTGAAAGTAAACGTTTTAAATTAAAAGTTATGCAAAGAAATAAGTGCTATACAGCTCTCAGATTTAATCAAAAATATCTTAATTTGTGTTCCGAAGATGAACGAAGGTCTTACGGGGTTGGTACAGCATGGGGGTGAGTAATTAATGACTTAATTTTAATTTTTGGGTGAACTATCCCTTTAAAATAGCCAAACCTTTATACATACCAATTTCTTTGAGCAGATCTCTTTTATCCTGCAACTCTTTTTGTCTTGCTTCTGCACTTTCTTCATTTTTTTTTCTCTGGCTCTTCATCTCTAGCAGCATGTCATCATGTGTTTCAAAATGCTGGCCATTATTTTCTGCCACAACATCATTAATCTTGATAAGCAGTTCTTTGACTCCTTCACTTTTGTTTTTGAAATCAAATATGTGATATTTGTCTCCACATCTCTGTATGATCTTTTGTAGATCTGGATTCTTCATGGGCTGGTCACTGTATTTGTCCTTCAGGGAATGGGCTCGTGTGAAGAGCACGATAGTGTGTCTCCAGATTCCCTCACCAAACAGACTGAAGTGCTTCTCGATGCTGAGTCTGTTCTCTTCAGTGAAAGGCAAGCTGAGATTAATGACCAGTAGGAAGACATGAGGTCCCGGCGGACACTGGAAGACACTGCAAACCAATTCCTGTTTGACGACTTCTGGGGAATCTTGCAAACCGAAGTTCTCCCACCAGCACGGCGTGTTAATCAGAGTTATCCTCCGTCCGTTCGCTTCTCCGTCGTTCCTCACAGACTTCACAAAGTGTTTGTCAGACGCAACTTCACCACCTAAAATGCTGTTTATCACCGAGGCTTTGTCAGATTTCTGCCATCCCAGAACAACGGCCCTTACGTCTGTCACAAAAAAAAAAAAAAAAAAAAAAAAAAAAAAAAAAACGTGACGTCGTTTTTATTTTATTTCATGGGCATTATTTTAATAAAGCAAATTAAAGGAAAATAAACAACAACTAAACAAATTTCTTGTTAAAATTAATAGCACACACAAACATATGTTACATCAAACTATCCGATTTTAATCTGATTTTTGGGAACGCATAAATAGTAAAATCTTTTTTTACTGCCAATCATGTCTAAACTTGTCTGATTTCAGTTAAGTTCATGTGGTTTCATTAAAACACGCCAATCAAAGTGTAAGAGTACAGTAATGTAGGCTATTTATATGGGTTTTAAAACTGAAAGCAAACGACAATTTGACATCTTAAACTTCTTACCTTCTTCCATCTTCTGCTCTCCAACAATCTGGATAATACTAGCATAAACTATAGGTGGAAATTATAGAAGTAAAAAACTAGAGCAAAAATTCAAACTACGAACTAGAAGAATCAAATAAAATGTACAAGTAGCCTAGCCTACATATGCGCGTGAATGTCGGGGCATATGAGGCATATTAAACCTGTAGGCCTATCTGTGAAACCAGAATATCAGGTCTGATCATGTGATAAAAGAGGGATGGTTAGAGTGGAAGAAAAGAACCCCCTGAACAGACTGAAACAGAACTGCGTGTTCATATTCCCCAATAAATCTCAGAAATGAACATCAAAGCAGGTGCTTTATATGATAGGCATAATAATAATAATAATAGCCTACATAGAGCAGCCCTATGGTACATGTAGCCCTACAAAACTGATAAAGATCTTTTCCTCATCAACAAGTTCTGACCAAACTATTTCTCGGATTTACAGCTTTATCATTTTAGTTCAATTTGTTAACATTAAAGCTTTCCTTTTATTTCAGGTTTAAAATGAGTGAACCCTTGGATATTTTACATGTTAACATGATACTTTGGGTCATGTACATTCATTCATGATGTCACGTAGCCTACACAGCTTATCACAACACGTCACATGGGACTGGTTAATGCTGATAATCTGCATTTCGGCACAACACACAACCAGTTGTGACATTCTTTTCTAATGTCGTCTTAATTGTATATCTTCTTCTTCTTCATTTTAAATCTTCTAAAAAGAAATGTGTTAAAGAGGCTATATTAAATCATTTTCATGTATTAATCGCTTTTTTATTGCCAATCTGTAAACAGCTTTTAACAAAACTAAAAAATGAGAGCTCCCCCGACTTCATGTGTTGTCTATGAAAGCCTGTACAGTAGACTGATGTAGTCGGGACTCTCCTTTCTTTTCTACATGGACTTATTGTCAGCTTTATTCTATTTTACGGTTTCATACGTCTAGACTTGCTAAGGGGCGGGGTCAGGGGGTGGTCCTTCATTCGAATTTGGCAACTCGTAAAATATGTTGGCCTGACCGATCCTGACTACGTCAGACTTCCTACTTCCGCAAGGCTAAAAATATAGGCTACGATTTGCTACGATTTAGCAAAAATCGTACGAATCCGTATGAGGTCGTATAAATTGGTACGAATGAATAAACCACCTCATAAAATTAATTCGTACGACTTGTTGACTTTGTTCTGATAGCAATTAACACTCTTTTAATTCACTATGGTGTTATTTTGTCACTTAAAATTTACGGAAGCAGTAACGATCAATAAACAAACTATGTGAAAAAGGCCTATTTGTTACGTCCTGCTGTAATCCATAAAAACAAGATAGGCTATCATATTGCATTTGTTGCAGTGTCCAAAAATACATGTGTAGTTTGACTATCCTTTGAAAGGATAGTTCACCCCAAAATGAAAATGAAACCCTTGAGGCCTTCTATCGTTCATCTTCAGAACACAAATTAAGATATTTTTGTTGAAATCCAAGAGCTTTCTGAACCGTCATATAGACTGCATTATATTTGAACGATGTCAATATAAAGTCAATCAGGATCTTAGTTATCAAATGAGCTGTTATTTTTCTAATAGGATGTATTAATGACTTTTTTTAAATCATATTTATATGCATTACAGCCATGCAGACAAAAACAGAAACCTGAAATGAAAACTTAACAATACTGTACTTGTTTTATTTTATTATACAACAACTGATGAGACTTTTTGTTTTAATTTCAAAATAAATATATTTGTATATAAACGTATGCAGGCATTGCTCTTCTCTTATTGTCATTCGGCTGTTGAGTGTAAAAGTTCATTTCAAAGTCTGTAAGCCTACATATGTGTAATTGTGTAATACTGGGAGCTTAAAAAACAGATTTGTTTGTTTGTTTTAGGAACATTTAATGCATTGTAGATTTATTAACTTAAGGTTGAACCACTGTCACATCATGGACTATTTTAACAATGTCTTTACTACCTTTCTGGGCCTTGAAAGTGGGAATAATATCGCAGTCATATGGGGGGGTCAGAAAGCTTTTGATTTCATGTTCCTTTTTAGGGTCAACTATCCATGTGAGGGATGGTCAAACTAGACATGTATTTTTGGACACTGCAACAAACGGAATATGATATCATGCTTTAGGAATTGGGAGGCCAAAACCCCTCGCACTTTCACTTTCAGTTGGAGGCTATATTAGGACGCAGCAGCGGACCTGATTGAAACACTGCTCCACCGGAGACCCTCAAAGCCCTGCTGAGAACTTCTGACACTCCGAAATGTCCGGAAACCGTCGTTTAACCTACCGTGGAGACGAAGAAGAATTTGGTAGGTGCTTTTTAATAGTTTTTATTTACTAAAATTGAAAACTACATTTAGCCGAAGTGTTATTTGTTATTTTATATTTAGGTTGAGGGCACAATAAGGACGGGCTAGTTGTAACACACGTGATTTAAAACTTTCCACACATGCCAGCATGATGAAACTAACTTAGTGTATTTACTAGTTGCCATATCAACTCTAGCCTATATATGGCCAAAATTTTAAAATCTTTTGAAGATATCACTGAGCATTTCACTGAAAAGGGTGAATAAAGACTGAGAGTCAATGTTCATATTTTGAACTGTATGTGTTTTGCGGTGTGTTTGTGGTCAAACTAAAAATACTTTAAAAATGGCATTATTTTATATAAAAAACATAATAATTGTATTTAATTGACCTTTTTTTTATTATTATTAGATCAGATAACATTAGGCTATAATCTGTCATATGGGCATGTTGTCATGTGTCACTTTCAATCTTTTGGGGTAAATCAAGAAAAAATTATACACTGTATTAATGAAACAAAATCCACATAATTGTAGGCCTAGATATGTGTGAAATTAATGTGGGGAAAACTCATCGCTCAGGGTGAGACTGTGTTGAAACGCTGCTGTCAATCAACAATTGTGGGAGGGGCGTCCGACCGTGACCTCACGTCACACGGTCAACCGGCTCGATTTGAGACTGGGAAAAACATATGGAGATTAAAACAAAAACAATGGATGGATTTTTATCATTTGATGGTTGTGTACAAGCACAGCCAACACACATTTTAATACAGTCAACTTGAAAATGTTCATATACCATTATATGACCCCTTTATGAACAATTAGTGCAGTTGTGTGAAGGATTGTAGGCAAATCTCAGACTAAATCACACCAAATACAGAACTCACAGCCTGGAGGAGTAAAACCAACTTGTTGTCACATTCAAAATGTTCTAATATTCAGTGCGAAATAACATAAATTCATATAAACCTGTTTTTTTTAAATCTATTTGCACTGCAATAATGCTCGTCTGTTTTATTTGCAGATGAAGATTGTGGTATTCTCTATAGAAAAAAGAATTTGACTGTTTCAAGTGACATAAATAAGAAATTATTAAAAAAGGAAACCTGGAAATGCAAAAAGGTTGTTACAAAAAAGCCAAAAGTAAAGCTTGCATCAGTTCATGCTGATGTAGGCAGCGTCATAGACATGATTGAAACATATGACAGACCAGGAGATGCCTATGCAGAAAGTACCTACGCTCGAGCTGGAGCATATGCAAACTCTTCGAAAGACGAACCAGGAAAGAGGATTCCCAAGGCCGGAGTCTATGCAGAAGCAGGACTTGGACGAGCTCGAGCTGAATTCAGTGTGTTTGAGGCCGAAGCCAAAGGACCCAACGCCTCGGCCGGAGCTGGAGCCAGTGTGGTTGAGGTCGGAGCAATGGCTCGGGCAGAAATAGCCAGCGCATCGGCTAAAGCCGGTCCAGTTGGTGTGAAACTGGGACTTGGAGTCGATACGGGAGCATCTGTTGGTGTGAGTGGGGTGGAGGCCAAATTCCTGGGAACTGGAGTCTCAATTGGTCCAAAAACCAGTGTCTCTGTCGTGGGTTCAGAAGTGTCCTGTGCAGTCATGTAGTCATACAGATTTTTATTTAATGCATTGTTTTACTGTCATTCCCATGTGTGTAACTGTTGTAACGTGTCCACCGAACTTTATAGAGATTTTCAACATCAATTTTTCCACTTATGCAAAACAGATTTTCCATAAGATGGTGAGCTCCGTGTGTTTTTTCTCATTAAATCATTATGGCTAAAAATTTCTATAGCTTTTGATAATTTATTTTTTTGTAATTTTGACTAAAACACATCATTATATAAGAATAGCTCCGACTTAAGAAAATATTTTGGGGTGTTTGTATGGAAAAAAGCTTTATAAGCATTATTCCACAAGATTGTTATGTAGACCTACATTCTGTAGCGTAATTAACTTTTTTGAACAAAAAACATTTGAGTTGTTGCTTTTGAAACCTGTGTGTTGCGCAAACCTGTTAAATCGACCTCTTCAGTGAAGATTCAAAAAGTTGTTAAAATGAATAAAGAATAAAAGTCTACCCCTCACACCATTGTTTTCATCTTTATACTTTCAGTGTTTGGGCTTGAATGATATAGCAGCAAAATCAATGAGACCTTGATATTTGACATCATAAATATCTGATTTCAGGGTCAAACTGAACTTCAGTTATTCCAAAATAAAAGTCTCAGAAGAGCAGCTTCGGCTTTCTGCGTCATTTGAAACAACAACAACAACAACAACAACAAAAAACAGTTGAATGAATATGGTGTAATTTCTTAACCTCATGTCATCCCAAAAACATGCTGGTAGTTTATGTAAATATTAAACTTAGACAACAGTCTTTCTGAAATCTCAACAATTTCGGTAATATTAGCCTGATAAAATACAAATATGTTACGTCACTAAAATACAGTTAAAAAGAACAAAAGATCCAATGCTATGAGGCAATTAATTTGCATTTTATTTATTTTTTGACAAGACTGAATAAATGTACTTGAAGAGAAATACAGGCTTTTAAGTAAAGTTGAAAATGACAGCTTATGAAATGCTTCAAAAATATTAAAAAATCCTGATAGTGATGCGTATTATTAACATACCACAAAGTATATGAGGCACAAAGCATGCACATGCATTGCTGACAACATCTCCATCATTATTCTCAGGCGCAGTGATCTGACAGCACTCGTTTGGGGAGGTAGTCGTTTCCCGGCACTGCAAGGACAGTGAAGGAGCACGTCATGTTCTGAGAAAAACAACAAATATATATAGTATATTTATATATTCACATTTCAATCAAAATGCATGCAAAAAAATTATTATACATGTGTTCACAAAAATGCAATTACATGCTAAATTATTGCATTGTTATTGAATTATTTCATTGCATTATTGCTTTGCATTACATTATTGCACACATAACATTTACACTGGGGTTCAAACTGCATATGCCTCAAATATACAGTATGTACAGTACATAACCAGAAAATGTTACATGTATGTGCTCACACCAGTGTTGTAGTACTCGGGACTCGTCTCGGACTCGGTCTCGAGACCATATTTTAATGGTCTTGGTCTTGTCATGGACTCGTGTGCATTTGGACTCGGAATTGACTCGTACTCGAAAAAAAATTTTTTTAGGACTCGGACTTATTCCTGAGTCCACTCGAGTTCAATTCAAAATATTTTTCATGATTATTAATGTATGTTAATAAAATATTTCTTTAAATTAATTGACATGCCCAGTGATTGGTGATTTTCTAGTGCACAACTGCGCATGACAAATTGTAATAAAATTACTTTTAACACCACCTACTATGTGGCCTTTTTACCCTAAACTGATCACATTTTTTAAACTCTAAGTAAATTCAGTAAAATAAAAAAAGGATTTCTCTAAGTAAATAAAAGTAAATTAGGTAATCAACCCTCACTGGTCTCGGTCTCGACTCGGACTCGACCGTCTCTGATCTTGGACTCGACTCGGACTCGACTCTCTCTGGTCTCGGTCTGGACTCGGACTCGACTCTCTCTGGTATCGGTGTCGACTCGGACTCGAGTGAGGTGGTCTCGACTACAACACTGGCTCACACTATATTTATTCAAATGCATCACAAAACACCAGAAAATGCTTTCATCTTATGATGATTAGATGTTGTTCCTCACCTCAGGGTTAGACTGTAAAGCACAGTGTGTCAGATTCACACTCGCCTGGTTCTCACACACAGTCTGTCCAGCCTGGATCTGTAAGATGTATTTAACCCGTGCAGGAGGATACAGCTGCAACAAACACACACATTATTAGCAAATCCATCAGAGTACAGTAGATGTGTGTCACGTGATGAACATGACACTTACCTGAGTCGTGTCAGATATGATGTCCACCACTTTAAACGCGTACGGGTAGCTACTCATGCGATTGTGGAAGTTCATGGCAAAGTTTGCCACACTAATAATAACATTACTGTCGTCATTTCTCATCTCTACCTCTGAAACAATAAGAGCTGAGACAATAGATGCAAAGAGGATCCGAGTGCAAACCATCCTGGCCGAATCCGAATCTGAGGGAACAAATGCAGTCAACATCATCAAGGAGGGTGGAAACATTAATAACGTTAGATATAAAACACAGCTGGTTCAACACACCTCTGTTTATTCGTCAGTGAGAAGCTCCTCGTGTTTCTGCATTCTGCTGATGAGAGACGCTCATGCTTGAGTTCATCTGACTGACTCAAACACTACAAGAGATGCAAAGCTTTTCCATAGCATAATATCTATTTCATATTCCAATGTGTTCTTCACTGCAGCTGATGATGACGCGCCGCGGTGAAGCGTTTACGTCATCTGCAGGTCACATGACCAGCCCAGGACCCGATCAGAGCAGCGGTCTACAGATATCCTGTCGAAAAACTCTCAAGGAGCGATTCTTGCTGAGGAAATCAACTTTAACATGGTGTAAACTGGCTTCAGAGTGCCCAAAACTATCAAACCAAACCAGCCTGACCATAATCCGAAATAAACACTTACTTTAGTTTAAACAGCATTAAAGTTAATATTTGATAGAAATGATCCACTTCTGCAGTATAAACCGCCATTTGACTGCTATAATGTGTGAGTCTGAAACGCGCAGCTGCTAAGACGTTTAAAACGCTTCCTTGTTATGATCTGTCAGATTCAGCTTTGGATCTCGTGATCGTCGTAACGGCACAGGATGATCGTTCTCGGGACAGATGAACTCACACAGGCTGAGAGCGTGTTAAAGCAGTTTTTCCCCGAGTCCATCAAGGTGTGGAGATTCTAGAAAGTTTCAAGGAAGTATTTTGCTCGCTTTATATAGCACTGAAATCAGATTCCCACAATGCTTTTAGTTTCACTTCGCTGTTTTCCAGGTTTATGGCTGTATATTCAACATAAACAGAGGGAAACCTCACAATCTGCAGGTTATTGCAGACCAGTGGCCTGATTTCACTGTCATTATTTGCAAACCTAAAGTTCAGGTAATAATGCAGACATTTATGATTTTTCACTTTAAAGGAGTAGTTCACTTTAAAAAAAAACTTTTATTTATAATTTACTCACCCTCATGTCATCCAAGATGTCCATGTCTTTCTTTCTTCAGTCGAAAAGAAATGAAGGTTTTTGATGAAAACATAACAGGATTTTTCTCCATATAATGGACTTCAATGGGGTCCAAACGGTTGCGCGTTCGTGACTCTCCTGTTCGAACTCGTTCATCAAAATCAACAAATCTTGTTCCGAGTCAATTCGTTCATTTTGTTTGTTGAATCAACCAAATGACTCGAAAAAAGATTTGTTCATTTTGATGAACGAGTTCGAACAGGAGTCACAAACGCGTATCACAGAACAGAGCAAGGCGAGCATTTGAGCTTATAAAACTTAAACTTTGTTATTAATTTATCCATCGTCTGGTGTCGTTTAAAACCCTTTGAAGCTGCACTGAAACTCTCATTTGCACCTTGAACCGTTTGGACCCCATTGAAGTCCATTATATGGAGAAAATCCTGGAATGTTTTCATCAAAAACCTTCATTTCTTTTCGACTGAAGAAAGAAAGACATGGACATCTTGGATGACATGGGGGCGAGGAAATTAACAGCATACGTTTTTTAAAAAAAAGTGAACTTCTCCTTCAATGAAACCAAGGCATATGTAAAAACATTCAGGGCACAAAGGACCGGGAAGGAGATTTCAACATCTACAGCATCTACTCAAAGAGCAAAGCCAGCCTGAGGAACTTTCTGGACACTCCTGGTGTGATCAATAAGGACTCGTTCACATTACTGGCAGGTACACACACTCTATTTGCTAAGTACTGTGGTTTAATGAAACACACACTAACCTGTTGGCTGATGAAGGGCTGGACATCAGGCATTCAGAAGCGGCTCAGGAGTTTGCGGATCAACATGGACTTCCATGGAAAGTTCAAGGAGTGATGAATGTGTTCCTGTTGCAGGACAAGAGCCAGCTGCAGTATAAAGACCGGTACATCATCAAATCATATCATCCTCTTTAATAACACCGGCTTAATAATATAAACATAAACATGTTCATACACCCACTGACGATATATTATACATCAGCTGTTTTAATTTCAATTAATTTTATATTTTGTACAGAAGCTTGTTTCCTATGGAAGCCCACATAAGAAATGTGAACAGTGAAATTATGCAATATACTGATTCATAATTATGACTTACAAACAGTGTTGGGTGTACTGTAATTTAATGACTTTTCCCTTGAAAATGTAAAGTAAGGGATTACTCTTAATTTATCTGTAATTTAATTACAGTTACTTCTGATGTAATTGAGGTAAATACTGTGTATAGATCAATCCGATCTCACAGCGATTCGTATGCGTTTTATGAGGTGTCTAAATATTACGACCGCACTCGTACTAATTCGTATGAATTATTGTAAAATATGTATGAAAAAAGTGTGAAAACAAACAATAGTGGGTTTAACATCAAAATGTATTGTCTGATGCTAAAAAGTATGTTTATTAAAAGTAATTAAATACTTTTTAATGAGAGTAATTAGTACAGTAATCTAATTACACTGTTGAAGAGGTAATTAGTAACTAGTAATTAATTACTTTTTTTAGAGTAACTTACCCAACACTGACTACAAAGTAAAAATTATGAGAAAAAAGTGAGATTGTGACTTTAGTCATATTTTCACTTTTTATGTCAATTTCAACTTTTCATCTCATAATTAAGACTTAATGTCATAGTTTCAACATTTCATACATGATGACTGACATTTTTATGTCATAATTATGACTTTTTAAATCATAAATGACTTTTTATCTCACATATTTGACTTAATTTCATAGTTTTGTGATTTTTGCAGGGTTTCTCTAAATGAAGTTGGCACATTTAGTTGTTTCCAATAAAATAGGAACAATAAATGGAAAGGGGAACATTTGGAAAATGGAAATGGGAACGTAGGAAATTGGAGATTTGGAGACAAAACCTCGTTCTTACATTTCCCTTGTTGTAATGTTTGTCATTTGTCTTCAGTGATTTGAGTTGGGCCGGTGTCAGGTGTCCTCCGCTCAGCGCCGCTCACGCTCATCTGGTGAACAGCACATGGAAATATGGCGGAGACAGTAACAGCTACAACTCAGTGCTGAACTACATCTCCCATAATCCTTCACTGTGTGTGATGGAGGAGGGCGGCACTGAGCCCGTGTCTTGGCTCCTCGTGTACCAACACGCTGCTCTTGGCTTACTTTACACGTTACCACAACACAGACGTAAAGGCTACGGCAAGTTACTGGTGTGTATGATGGCCAGAACGCTCCTGGAGCGAGGACACCCTGTGTATTGCTTCGTGGAAGAGGAGAACGACGCTTCCTTCAAGCTGTTCACGTCACTGGGCTTCCAGCGTTCAGCGCATTACAGGGCTGTGTGGTTTGAGCTCAATAATCGACAGGGCAAGAAGTAGAAATCGAAATCACTTCAAATTCCACCGTTTAATACCGAGTTAACACTGAGTTTTTAATCGCTTCTTCATTTTATATATATATACATAAACACACTCTACTGAAGCCCTGAACGGCAACGTAAAAAGCTTGTTTAAAGTCGAAACTAAATGTTTTAACTTTTAAACAATTTTTTAAAAAGTTTTAACAATTAAATTTTTCGACTTTAATCTCGAAATGTTTTGAATTTAATACAAAAATGTACAAAAATTTTTCTTTTTACATTTAAAAAAAAATTATTATTATTATTTTTTTACATTGCGGTTCAGGACTTCCGTAACACACACACACACACACACTTTAAAATAATAATAAAAATATTACATGGATTAAATGCATTTTTATAGCAAAAACCTTCAAATAATATATAACAAATTATATATAAAAAGAAATATGCAATGCAAATAAGTTTAATCACTTCATTTGTAATATTTGATTTATTTTTTCTATCATATTTCTATTATAATTTATTTCTATTATATTTTATTTCTATTATAATTTATGATTTTTTATTAAATATCATGCAAATAGAAATCACTTAAAATGTCACTGAAGATTTCAAACCCCTTTTCATTTTATGTAATTTTATTTTATATGCATATTTCTAGCATTCAGCAGTATATACTGTGTACGTAGTAAGAATAGTAAGATATTAATGTTATTTTGAACAAATCCTTTTACATATTCTTTTATCATCCTGAAGCATTTTTCCTAAAACACTTCAGTAATAATAACTCAGTCACAATGCGTATAAATCTTAGTTTTATTAAGTCGTATCTCCTACATTAGAGTACTATAAAACAGTACAAAGTTTAGATAATGTAGAAATCACTTCTAATAATTCTAATAAAAATTGTACAAAACCTGGATAAAACCGAGTACACAAATAAAACTGTTTCAGAAATAAATGGCACATCTCAATTTTCTCAGCTTGTACATCCCTTTGCCATAACCTACGCTAATGGGTTTATGCATTTTTTAAGGTCCGTTTTTTTAAAAAAAGGCCTAAAATCATTAAAAAGCTCTTGATGTGCTTGTTCTTCAGTGAAACGATCCCAGGGCTAATGTGACGAACACAAAGAGCTGATCTACACATGTTATCCTGGAGCTGTTAATGCAATAAATAAAAGTGAAATGACATGTTAAACGACTCGCGCATTCAGGTTCACGGAAACCCAGTTAAGGCACGAAGGTCTGAATGACATCGGTTCTTCTGTAGTAACACACACAGCTGTAATGCAAACACAAACTCGGTTGCATACCTAGTACACAACCACTTTGGTTAAAAAGCGCCTCGACAAACACTGCGATGTCCAATCCCTCAAGATCTGGTCCCTGATGAAGGGCTTGTGATGTGACGTTGGCAGCTTGGCATCAATAGAATTAAAGTGGCGATGCAAGTTCAGTGAATGGCCACTAGGTGGAGGCTGTGGTTACGAGTCCTTCACTGTGATGGTGGATGTTGTGAAGCTCTGCCTTACAGATGGTGTGTCCTGAGCAGTGCAGAGAGCTGACGGCAGGGGCCTCCTCGTCTCCTGTCACACACACACACGATCATCAACCTCTATCTGAAAGTGCATCTGCATCTACTTATCAAGATACAAATCTGCAGAATGGATTTAAAAGTGCTGCCAGCTATTGTTTTTAATATCCCCTATATCAATATCAAGTTAGCACCAATGCTGAAGCAAAACTGTGAATCATATACAGCAGCTTTAAATGTGCTAATATTTAGTAAACTGTGCATACTACAATCTAACTAGTTGCTGAAACCGCTATATTAAATATCCAGAATGCATATGTTTGACAGGCATAATATGATCAGATTCACTATTTAATAATAACAATAATATCAATACAAATCATTTCGATTATTAATTAAAAATTCTAAAAATGTAATCAATAAAGAAATATTACCATTGCAATAATACTACTGTAATGTAAAAATAAAAATATATTAAGTCATTATAATAAATATTTATTAGTATTATTTAAAATAATATTTTAATTTGATCATTATTTAAATTATTTAACTATTCAATAAAGAAATATATTGCTATTACTAAGTTTAAAAATAAAAACAAACATTTATTAATCATCATTATAACTATTATTATTAAAAACAATAATATTCAATTTTAGCATTTCAACTACATGATTAATCAAAGTTAATTATGGCAATAATACTACTGAAAAGTAAAATAAAAATTGATTAAATCATAATAAATATTATTAAAAATAGAATTTTAATTTGATCATTATTTAAATTATTAAATAATTAAAAATAACTATAAATAACAAAAATATTAAATTAAGAAATATATTACTATTACTAAGTTTAAAAATAAAATGAGCATTTATTAATCATCATTATAACTATTATTATTAAAACAATAATTTTCTAAATAATATTTTATTTTAGCATTTCAACTACAAGATTAATCAAAGTTAATTACGGCAATAATACTACTGTAAAGTAAAATAAAAATTGATTAAATCATAATAATAAATATGATTAGTATTATTAAAAATAATATTTTAATTTGAAAATTATTTAAATTAATAACTATTCAATACATTACAATTACTAAGTTTAAAAATAAAAATGAGCATTTATTAATCATCATTATAACTATTATTATTAAAACAATAATATTCTAAACAATATTTTATTTTAGCATTGCAACAACAAGATTAATCAAAGTTAATTACGGCAATAATACTACTGTAAAGTAAAATAAAAATGGATTAAATAATAAAAATAAATATAAGTATTATAATCAAAACCTTTTTATTTGATCATTACTTAAATTAGAAAAAATTACAATACTGTACAATACTGTAAACTGTTACTGTAAAAATAAGTAATTTTATTGTACAAAACAGCAGTAAAATTATGGTAATAATATTTATGGCTGAAATAATTCATTTTATTTTGTTGAAACCCTTACAACTCCTCATTTATAAACAAACAGGAAGGATGTTTGGAACGAGGTTGCATTTGAGAATACAGAAGTCTGAATGAATGTGTCATTTAAATATTATCCTACAAATAAAAGATAAAATTATTCCCGCTAAATAAGAGAACCTCCTACCGAGTCCCGAGGAGGAGGACACGCTGTCGGCCAGAGACGAGGTGTCGGCGTGATCCGGCGAGAGTCCCTCCATCAGCGGGATGGAGAGTTCGGACGAGGGCACGGACGAGTCGTAGATCCCGGAGTCTCTGGGCATCTCCGCTGGACTGGCGGATCCGTCCATGTGAAGAACCGGAGCCGGCCCGGACAAACCCACGTCCTGACCCGACGACCCTTCCCCGAGCTCGTCCCGGGACAAACTCAGCGAGAGGACCCTCACCGGGCAGTCGCTCTCCGAGGGGTGTTTCAGTTTCACCTCGTTCAGGACGAGCCCGGATTCGGGAAGCGGAGCGGGACGCTTGTTCGGCGCCGGCGTGAGCTGCTTCTCGAACCAGTCGGGCTCCTGATCGATGTGCTGGTGCATGTTACAGATGGCCACGTAAAGCGAGCGGCCCGATTTGCTCCGGAAGTAGTTGCGTTTGCTGACGTTGGGCGGCTGCGGCTCGCGGTCGGTCAGGCTAAGCTGGCGGGAATGGAGCCGCGCGAAGAGTTGAGGAAGCTGATCCATTAGCTTTAGCTTGGGCGCCAGGCTGAGGGACGTCGGCACGTCGCTCTCGTGAGAGTAGTCGAAGTAAACCGCCATGAAGCGCGAGAGGTCGGACGACTTCTGATGCGCGTCTCGGATCTTCTCGGAGACGATGGCCGCGGCTACGATGAACAGATCCCTGCTGTTCCCGCCGTCTCCGCTCGCGCTCGGCTCGCGGTTGTTCTCCTTCGACGTGGCCTTGCCCTTCCGGTGTCTCTTCTCCACGAAATACTTCAGCCCTCTGGAGCAGACGGTGATGATGAAGTGAGCCTCGTCGATACGCCGGCTCAGCCACGCCATCTGACCCTCCTTACAGATCTCCAGGTGCTCCCACAGATCCAGAGACACCTGCACACACACACATCATGCACTCTTACACACCTTTATATGCGGAGTTGAGGTTAAGTGTCTTGATAAAACGAGCTTTAATTTAATTTAAAAGCATTAAAGTTTCCCACAAATCCACACGCACACACACAGAGGCATGTGATCAGCTGACAGAAAAGTAAAGTTTTCCTCATTCAATATGATTATATAATAATAACAACACAGTAATAACATCAGTACTACTGCCTCTGCTGGTAAAAAAATATATATATATATTTAAATGATTATTAATTTATAAAAATTCAATCAATAAGGAAATGTATTTCTATTTCACTGTAAAATAAAAAAATACTACTAGTTATTATTCAAAATAATATTTTAGCACACATTTTAAATTATTTGATCGTAAGAAAAAACTATTCAATAAAGTAATATTGTAACGAGCATTAAATTAACAATAAACTTATCAATAAAGAAATGTTTAGATTTCCGTTAAAGATTTACTATAATATTCATAATATATATTCAAACTATTGTATCATTATTTAAATGAGAGAAATTAAACTAATCAATGAAGAACTATTGTAATAACACCTTTGTAAACTGTATTGAGCATTATAATAAACAGTAAAATTACATCACATTTATATCTGTCTTCATTTCTTTACTGTCAAAACAACTATGAATAATTTATTTTGGCATAAAATAACCTTAAAGCTCCTCGTTGTTAACCGATAACAGATTTATTAATGATTCTCATTACAAATATGTGAAGATGTTTGTCAGTTTTATTTCACCTTGTGTAGAAGTATTTATCAATGTTCATGTTCGCTAATGTAGACCTGACTGTAGTGTCACATGCTAATAATGACAACATATTGTGGAAAAACAAACACTAATGAATCATGCAAATAAGCAGGAACATGCATTTATAAAGTTAAATAGGATACATTTATTATTTCATGTATTATTATCTATGGAATAATATAGGTTAGCAAACTAACTGCCACTAGGTGGCGTCATCCGCACACATTACAAACCTGTTTGGTGCAAAAGTTCATTTATTTCAGTAATTCAACTTAAAAGGTGAATCTAATATATTATATAGACTCATTACATGCAAAGTGAGATATTTAAAGCATTTATGTGTTATAATTTTGATGATTATGGCTCATGAAAACCTTTTCACAATATTCTATTTTGAATTTGGGGCTTGAAATATCTCACTTTGCATGTAATGAGTCTATATAATATCTTAGCTTCACCTTTTAAGTTGAATTACTGTGTATGACGTGGTTTTACTGACCCCGAACGTTTCAACGCTAGTGTTTTTTTTGCACATAAATGTGAACACGCATCAAGGCCAAGCCTCACCTCACACCCGCAGAAGTCCTGCAGGAAGAAGGCGAAGCTCTGGATGACAGCGAGGTGTTTGGGGCCGTCTCTGCTGGAGTAACAGATGAAGATCTTGGGTCTGGGCCAGGGCCTGTCGGCGCTCAGCGCTGTGGTCAGAGACGACGACTCCGAGCTCTCCTCGTCCAGGTGGGAGTAGATGTTTTCTGCGGAGGAATTCCAGATCAGAGACACGTGAATCTAACCAGGATCAAATGAGATTTGAAGCGAGTGGGGGAAAAGCGCATTCATTGTTTCCATATGAGAACTCCTTCTAGAGCACTAAAAGTAAAGCCTAATTTGTCCATGTCGGAGAAACATGTGTTTTTGTCTTCCTCCTCATCCACCTCTGCAAAAACACACCACTGCAACTCAATCCTCATCCGTCCCTCGCGTTTCATAACACATCTTCAAAATGACCTGAAGTCCTAAAATTATATTCATTTGTTATTGTTCAGAAAGCTTATTTTATTTCATTTTGATAATATTTTTTCAGTGACTTTTATTTTAAATTTACCTTTAAATTACTAGATTTGATCAATAAATAATAATATGATTTATTTGTTGATCAAATCTAGCAATTTAGAGGTAAATTTAAAAAAAAAAGTCAGTGAAAAAATATTATCAAAATGATAAAAAATAAGCTTTCTGAACAAGAAAAAATTAATATAATTTTAGGACTTCAGGTCATTTCTACGGAAGCGTATTGCATTCACTTGAAAAAAAAATCAAGTTTATTATCTCAGAACTACGAGATCCCTTTTCATAGAAAAAAAGTTTTTGCTCTGTTTTTTTAAAATAACGAGTTAATTATCTCAGAATTACAAGAATTTTTCATGGAAAAAAGTTTTTGCTCTGATAATTTTTCTTGTAAAAAAATATTTGCGCTGTTTTTTTTTTAATTAACGAGTTAATTATCTCAGAATTACAAGAAATTTTCACGGAAAAAAAGTTTTTGCTCTTTTTTTTAATCAGCAATTTTATTATCTCAGAATTACGAGATAGCTTTTGCGCTGTTTTTCTGAATTAACGAGTTAATTATCTCAGAATTACGAGATCCCTTTTCATAGAAAAAAAGTTTTTGCTCTGTTTTTTAAATGTTTTTTTAATCAGCAATTTTATTATCTCAGAATTACGAGATAGCTTTTGCACTGTTTTTTTATTAACGAGTTAATTATCTCAGAATTACAAGAATTTTTCATGGAAATAAAGTTTTTGCTCTGTTTTTTTAATCAGCAAGTTTATTATCTCAGAATTACAAGATAATTTTTCTTGTAAAAAGTTTTTGCGCTTTTTTTTAAATTAACGAGTTAACTATCTCAGAATTACAAGAATTTTTCACGGAAAAAAAGTTTTTGCTCTGTTTTTTTAATCAGCAATTTTATTATCTCAGAATTACGAGATAGCTTTTGCGCTGTTTTTCTGAATTAACGAGTTAATTATCTCAGAATTACAAGATCATTTTTCATGGAAAAAAGTTTTTTCTCAAGTCATTAATTCAGAAAAACAGAGCAAAAAAAATTTCCTTAACTCGTTAATTCAGGAAAACAGAGTAGATTTTTTTTCTTCAAGTGAACGCAATACGTTTCCGTACATTTCTCATATTTTTTCAACTCAAAATAAGTCACAATTTCATGCATAACCCTTTTAACTCAACTTAAAATGTCTTTGCCGACCTCTAATATAACATATAGCTATATTAGACTCTAGGCATATAGATATATATAGACTCTAGCCACTAGATGGATCAAATGAGCTTTTCCGCTGGGTCCTAAAGTTATTTCTCGTCAGTATACCTTCAGATACACATGTAGACATTATTAAAAATCCTTTTTTGGTAAAGTTTTGGCATTTTTAGTTTGAAGTTTGAGCATTTTTAGGTTTTTCTATGTGTACTGAAGCATTCCTCGCATTCCTAAAGGGGTCAAATTGACCCGCAAGTGAAGGGTTTTAAATTTCAACCACAAACCTCCTTGAATCCACTAAAAGTTTTTTTGTGTATTCGTGGTTCAAGTGTGACAAAATCCCACTGATGAACACAGTGTTGAAAAATGAATTACGGGTGAAAATGACCCAACGGATGAGGGAAAACATCTCATAACTAAAAGCATAAGAATCAGAGGAGTTATGTCAGCGATTCTGAAGGACACACACATGTAATTACAAACAAACACATGCATTACACACTAACAGGAGTTTCTTTTGTCTGGAACAACCTGAGCTGCGACAGAAAGCGCTTAGATTCCATCATCCATTAATCCTCGTGAATGCCATGAGATTACAGAGATCGCTTTACAGATACTGGACAAAAGCAGGTCTGCGGGAAACCGGAGACTGGCTAATGAAGGACACACACCTTGCTGTTTCTTGCGACACATGACGGTGAAGAGGGTGGCGAAGGCCGACATGATGACGAGCGGGACGGTGATGGCCATGGCTCGGATCGGGCCAGCCCACGGGGAATGCACTGCAACACACACACACACACAGCATCAGATAAGAGTTCAACAAGTCCAGGACCGTGGTTTCTCTTCACTCGAGTCCGTTTACCTTGGCTCACGTGGTACTGCGTCTGTCTTCTGGTGGTGTTGTTGTCGTCACGAAGCTGCAGGAATAAGAAAGTGGGTAACACTTCACAATAACGTTCATTAGTTTATGTATTAACTACCATGAGCAATAAATGTGTCACTGTATTTGTTCATCTATGTTAAAGGAGTAGTTCACTTTTGAAAAAACTTCTTTTGCTGATAATTTCCTCACCCCCATGTCATCCAAGATGTCCATGTCTTTCATTCTTCAGTCGAAAAGAAATGAAGGTTTTTGATGAAAACATTCCAGGATTTTCTCCATATAATGGACTTCAATGGGGACCAAACCGTCAAGGTCCAAATGAGAGTTTCAGTGCAGATTTAAACGACTCCAGACGATGAATAAGGGTCTTATCAAGCGAAACGAGCGCTCATTTAAAAAATAAATACGAAAGTTTGTTGAATGAACCAAATGACTCGAAAAAAGATTCGTTCATTTTGATGAACGAGTTCGAACAGGAGAGTCGAGCAAGGCGAGCATTTGTGCTTATAAAACTAAAACTTTTTTATTTATTTTTGAAATGACTGCTCGTTTCGCTTGATAAGACCCTTATTCATCGTCTGGTGTCGTTTAAAGCTGCACTGAAACTCTCAATTGGATCTTGACGGTTTGGTCCCCATTGAAGTCTATTATATGGAGAAAATCCTGGAATGTTTTCATCAAAAACCTTCATTTCTTTTCGACTGAAGAAAGAAAGACATGGACATCTTGGTAGGGTTGCCGCGGTGAGGAAAATTTCCCACCGGTTAATCGACGTGTGACAACACCGGTAATCCCGGTGTCACCGTGGAGGGCAAGGCGGGGGGGGTTGAATAGCTTTTAAATGCGTGCGCGTTATACTTTCACTTTCGAAATAAGCATCAATTGCTTGAATGGACAAAAAACAACTGATAATAAAACTTTTATTTATAGACAGAACTTTTATTAGCATAACGAACGAATAAAAATAACCCCATGCATAGGCTGAAAAAAGTGAAAATCGGGAAACTGTGGGCCCAAACAAATAAGAACCATAAAACGTTTATTAACGAATAAGAAAATAAAATAGGCCTAAATAAATTACACAAAGTTTAAATAAGATAAAACCAATTAAAAAGAGACGAATATAAAATAAAAACTTCAAAACGGACCTTAGCCTACATAAATGACATACTTTCACTTTCGAAATAATCGTCAATTGCAATTCAGCGTCAATTGCTGGAATGGACAAAAAAAAAACAACAACTCGCTGACAATAAACTTTTATTTATAGACAGCGCTTTTATTAGAATAATAAACAAATAAAATATAGACAGAACTTTTATAACGAACGAATAAAAATAACCCCATGCATAGGCTGAAAAAAGTGAAAATCGGCAAACTGTGGGCCCAAACAAACAAAACGTTTATTAACGAATAAGAAAACAAAATAGGCCTAAATAAATTAAACAAAGTTTAAATAAGATAAAACCAAATAAAATATAAAATAAAAACTTTAAAAAGGACCTTAGCCTACATAAATGACAGCACTCTAAAAAAAAGTAAAACACTATAAATTGGAATTTATTAACATTAATAAATATTGCCAAACAGGCGCTTTTGCATTGCGTTTTGACACCAAATCTTTCGGCATTATCTTGCTTTTCTGTAATTTGACTCGTTCTCGTCTCCACACGTGCTAAATGGAATCCTGATGCTTGCTGATCTGTGACGTGACGGCACGCACTGCGCAGTTCATTTTTAATTATAATGCTCTCTTCTGAACTAAATAATTGAAAATTATTATTTTTAATTAATTCAAATAAATATTTTTGCAAAAACGAATACTTTAAAAAAAAAAGTCAAGACATCGCGGTGTCAGGGTGGGAAAGTGATGTCACCGGTGATGGGGCTTAAAACCAGTAACACCGTCAACACCGTCTATCGCGGCAAGCCTACATCTTGGGTGACATGGGGGCGAGGAAATTATCAGCAACATTTTTTTTAAAGTGAACTACTCCTTTAATGTTAGTAAACAAAAAAATCATTGTTTGCTCATGCAAGTTCACAGTGCATTAACTAAAAATACCAAGATTTTAAAAACATTGACAAAGATTAATAAGTGCAGTTCATTATTAGTTGATAATGAACCTTATTGTGAAGTGTTATCAGAAAGTGAGTTTGTTCTACTGAGTTTTTAATTTTTAAAAAGTGTTTAAATGAAACTCACCTCTATTGCATATGTCCCTGGAGTGACGTCTTGTAAAACACATGTTGTTTTGAAGCCATTTTGCTCCTGCAAAAACACATTTAAAACATCAATATCTAATGCATTTTATGTAAAATGACATGCAATGTTCAGTGCAATGAAAATATGATGCATTGAATCACATTTATACAGTCTATGAGACTTTTGTGTGAGTGAATAACTGGCATCAACTTTTAAAATATATCTTAAATGCATCTCTATACTCTTGCCTACTATTTTTCTATCACTTGATTTCAGCTTTGCAAAAATATGCAATTTTAAAAAAATCAATCCTGTTATCATGATTTTATATATAGTATTTATGAATAACATATTTTTGCAGACACATCAGCACTGAATACTCTTTCCAATAAACATGCATAACTTGAGCTAGAAAACGCTAGATAAACTGTTGACCCTGGCACTTTTCACTAAGGTTAACATTAAACTAGCAAGAATGCAAACTTGCACGTTTACTACTAGGTTTCTAATGCACTCAAATGCATATAACCTTATACCTCAATATCCCTGTTAACCTCATGCATTCATAAAGAGGAACTGTTATACAGTAATGTTGGGAAGTTCACACAGGGATCTGAGCGTCTGAAGCCGGGAATCCCCGCTGGTGGCGTCGCACACCTCAGATTTCACCTCCATCTATTATCGCTACAAACAATGCCGAGTCGGCCCAGCCACAGATACGAGCGCTGCGCTCTTCTGAAAAGAGTCGGGACAATGCTTTTACACCCAGAATATGTGAAAAATATGTTTCAAAAGAACCAGGTCATGTTCCCAAAATGACACAGACATGAAACACCTCGTGCTAGTGCGGAGATAATACACCCCAGCAGTGTGATTTCAGGACATGCATGTGTGTGTGTGTGTGTGTGTGTGCGCATGCATTTTCATTCTGTGGTTAATTAACTTGCATTTTTTGTTGTTGTATTATTTGGTGTATAAGTGAACTTCATTGTGTTTAATTTGCTTATAATCAATGAGTTTGAGCAAAGCTTCTTACAAATAAAATGCATAACAATAATAAATACCACTACTACCACTAAAACTATTACTAATAATTGATATAATTAACGATAACAATTATTGTTATTGTTAATAATAAAACATCAAATCATTAAAAAATAATAATAAATACTACTACCACTATTACTACTACTAATAATAGATTTAATAATTAATAATAACATGTATTGCTGTTGTTATTATTAATAATAAAATACTAAATAATGAAGTATTTAGTATTAATAATAATAATAATATTAGTATTAATAATAATAATTTATTATTATTAAATAATAATAAATACCACTACTACTACCACTACCACTATTACTACTACTAATAATAGATATAATAATTAATAATAAGATGTATTGCTGTTGTTATTATTAATAATAAAATACTAAATAATGAATAAATACAACTACTACTACTTCTACTACTACTACTAATAATTCATAATAATAACAAAAATTATTATTAGTACTATTAATTATAATTTTAGTAGTAGTTGTATTTATTACGCATTATGATTATTATTTATCAGTAATACATACTACTACAATGACCCCTATTACTACTACTAATAATAATTAATAATAATAACAATTATTGTTGCTATTATTATTAATAAAATACTAAATAATGAATAAATACTACTACTACTACTACTAATAATAGATATAATAATAATTATTATCATTAATATTAGTGACATTTATTGGTTATTATTAAATCATATTAATAATTATTATTAATTATCATTATTCTATTCTAGTAGTAGTAGTGGTACTTATTAAATATTATATATATATATATATTTTTTTTTTCCAACAGCAACAATCGCCATTCGATTCAATTTCTCTGTATGGAAAAGAGCAGCATGAACATGAACACACTTCTCCAGTTGTGTTCACAGAAGAAAGTCAAATGCGTTTGAAATGACATGAGTGTGAGCCGTTTCTGGCTGAACTCTCCCTTTAAGAGAGTTATTCCTGAACCCAAAAAACACGTGTGTTTAGCCAAAAGGAAAGACAGATAGCGTCTTCTAACTCCCAGCACAGTTTCTATGTGACGAAGTGCTGCTGTGAAAGCATTTCCGCTTCAATCACAACCAAAGTGTGGAAAGAACACGTCCGACGAGCGTTCAGAGCGGCTCTGTGAGGGTCAGGTCTGCAGGACATTCAACAGACAACACTATATATTATTCCAGCAGTCTGGGAAGAACATTACACGCTGCTGGGAGCGTTAACCCTGAACATCTCACTTCCAGCCAGAGGAACACGTGTGTGTGTGCAAAGCTTCAGTGCTAACAGAGTATGCAAACAATTTCAGTTATCCGATGATACAAACATGCAAACCATTAGGAAACACGCCTCTTTCCTCGAAAAATAACAACACACAACTTTTTGTGGGCATTTTTCATTCTTTCTGATCCGAATTAACTATTCTAGTCTATTTTTGGTACTGTACCTTTAAGACTCTCAGTTCAATGGTGCAATTCAAGTTTATATCACATTTTAAAAAGCATTAAAAGGTACAAATCGCTGCATATTGATTTTATCTATAATGTTCATCAAGGTTAATTGCCACAATAAATGTAAAAAGTAGCTTTTTATGGCCATTTTCCACCCTGAATAAACTGTCTATTTTTGCTACTGTACCTTTAAGATGGTCAGTTAACTGGTGCAATTCAAGTTAACAAAATAGATCAAATCCTAAAAAGCATTAAAAGGGACAAATCTAGGATTTGTTTTAGTATCTTAGTCAAAGTTTATTGCCTTAACAATGTAAATGTAGTTTTTATGTCCACCTTTTCTGATCTGAATAAACTGGCTTTTTTTTTGCTACTGTACCTTTAAGACTCTCAGTTCAATGGTGCAATTCAAGTTCATATCACATTTTAAAAAGCATTAAAAGGTACAAATCGCTGCATATTGATTTTATCTATAATGTTCATCAAGGTTAATTGCCACAATAAATGTAAAAAGTAGCTTTTTATGGCCATTTTCCACCCTGAATAAACTGTCTATTTTTGCTACTGTACCTTTAAGATGGTCAGCTATCTGGTGCAATTCATTTCGTTCATCATCAGGGTGAAGCGTTGAATATGTAAATGTGGGCGGTCATTTGATAATGACCTCATGGTTGTGAAAATAAAATTATGGCTATTTCAAAACATACTCCTTTGCATATAATTTTTAATAAGATGAAAGTGTGAGTTTTAAAACAGCATCGTGAAGCAGCACAGACAGCTGTAAAGTCCCGTTTTAAAGCAAGCCTAACAGATGTAACTGCTTATCTCCCGTCATAAACTGGTCTGAACGACTTTAGAGTGAGCATTTTAGGGTGAACTATTCCTTCAACAACATTTGCATCTCAAAAAAATCACCCGAAGGCAAATGCTTAGGATTTGTGCCAGTGCAACTATTAGACAAAAATGCAAAGTGAAAATGCTCACAGGTTTGCAGCGCTTGAGTCTGAAGGGCCCCTCCTGCCTGAGCTTGTAATACAGGTAGTAGATGGAGAAGCCGAATGTGGAAGGGGCGTGGTCAAACACAACATGCAAATTAGATCCTAGTTGAGAAACATTCAGCATCTTGGGCTTCCAAACTGTCAGGGAAAGAGAAAGAAGATTTTGGGCTTTATTTAAGATCTCACAGCTTGGTTAACAAAAACAGATGACCTGGATTTTATATCTTTCTCTCTCTCTCTCTTTAAAGAACTCACATGGTTTGCAGACGAGGTTATCCGAGCCAAGAAGCACTTCACAAGCTGTGGGAACGCAAGGAACCAGGAAGAGAAATTACTTCATGTTTTGAATTTACTAAACTTTTCCATACCATTTAAAGGAGTAGTTCACTTTTTAAAAAAAACCTTTGCTGATAATTTACTCACCCCCATGTCATACAAGATGTCCATGTCTTTCTTTCTTCAGTCGAAAAGAAATTAAGATTTTTGATGAAAACATTCAAGCATTTTTCTCCATATAATGGACTTCAATGGGGACCAAATGAGAGTTTCAGTGCAGCTTCAAAGGGCTTTAAATGAACGAATCTTTTTTCGAGTCATTTGGTTAATTCGACGAACGAAATGACTTGAAAAAAGATTCGTTCATTTTGATGAACAGGAGCGTCACGAACGTGCATCACAGAACAGAGCAAGGCGAGCATTTGTGCTTATAAAACGTAAACTTTTTTATTTATTTTTAATGAGCGATCTTTTCGCTAGATAAGACCCTTATTCATCGTCTGGTGGCGTTTGAAGCCCTTTGAAGCTGCAATGAAACTGTCTTTTGGACCTTGAACCGTTTGGACCCCATTGAAGTCCATTATATGGAGAAAATCCTGGAATGTTTTCATCAAAAACCTTCATTTCTTTTCGACTGAAGAAAGAAAGACATGGACATCTTGGATGATATGGGGGTGAGTAAATTACCAGCAAAAGTTTTTAAAAAGTGAACTACTCTAAGTAATAATGTGGCACTATAGCTTAAGTAAATGTCATTTTGTGTCCCAGAATTATTAAATTTGATGAATTTAAAATGTGTTTCAAAAGTGGAACAGAATAAGGTCAGTATGCATAGTGTGTTTCAGGCCTAACACTCACTGTTAGTGCGCAGAAAAGACGGTGGAAAGAAGCTGTCGTTCAGGAACGTGGGAAACGGCACGATCCGGACCATGTAATCGGCCTCGAAAGACAGACCGGCGAAGGGCTGTGAGCTCATCCTCTGTTGGGAAAAATGCAAAATGGTGCCAAACAGATGAACATGAGCATAACATTTAATTTTCCAGTAAATTATTCGGTAAAACCTTATTTTACAGTGTCCTTGATGCATATGTTACATGTACTTACCGTAGTAATAACAGTAAATTGTGCAGAATTACATGCAACCAATCCCTAACCCTATAGAAAGTACAGTAGTTGCTTAATATTACTAAAATGTGTAATTACATTGTAACAAGGACACTGTAAAATAAAGTGTTCCCAATTATTCATCTGATAAAAACCTTATTACTATATATTCTGTTTCATGAACACAACCACATGTACTTACAATGGTTTTGTAAGAGAAGTTAAGCTGCCGGGGATCCTTCAGGATCATGTGCTGGCACTGTTTTCCCTCAGGATTCTTGTCCTCCAGATACACTCTGAATCCTTTCACGTGTTCAATACCTAGCAGATCAAACAGCTTTTATGAAATACAGGGGTTTAAACAATAGAAAAGCACATAAATCCAGATGGCTAGAGGATAGCTGTGCAACTGACAGGTTTAGTTTTTAAAATGCATGAATCGTTAAGGAATTCACTTGCATTGTCCCGAGAAAGTTTATAATACAGATCTAATCCTAAAAAGCATTAAACGGGACTTGATTTCTAATGTTAGTCAAGGTTTATTGCCCTTTTATAGCCATTTTCCACCCTTTCTTATCTGTATATTGGCTTTTTTATACTGTACCTTTAAGATTCTCAGGTGCAATTCAAGTTTACAAAAACCTTTAAAAGGGACATAATTTTACATTTTATTTTTTTTTTCTTGGAATTGATTTCTAATGTTAAAATGCAAAAATATTCAGTTTTTTGTTTTTTTAGACACAAGTGAAACTCGAAAAATGTTAATATTGAGCAAAAGTTATAATTTTGATGATTATGGCTCACAGATTTTGAAAAAAACACCAAATTCAAAAGCTCAGAAAATTAGAATATTACATGATATCAATTAAAAAAAAAAGGAAAAAGGATTTTAAATACAGAAATGTCGGGCCTCTGAAAAGTATAATCATGCATATAGTTAAAAATATTAGTTTCACCTTTTAATTTGAATTACTGAAATTAATGAACTGTTGCACGATATTCTAATTTTTCAAGCTCAGCCTGTAAAACTGTCTGTTTTTGCTACTGTACCTTTAAGACTCTCAGCTATCTGGTACAATTCATGTCGTTGAATATGTAAATGTGGGCGGTCATATGATAATGAGACATCACAAATGACTATTTCAAAACGTATCCCTTTGCATCAAATTTATTTTTTACAATTTCTAATGAAAAAGTGAGTTTATAACCCCATAGACGGCTGTCTACTCCGACTCCAAGGTGCAAATTCAAACATGCTCAAGTCCCGCCATTAAACTTCCAGGACTGGAAAAGGCATGCATAATCTTTCTTCCTTTTCTTCCCCGTTTTATTTGTATTTTTATAAGCACCGCTGAAGGAGAGGAGGCATTTAGCACAGCGAGAGGACGGCAGCATGCGTGCCAGCGGAGCGTTCCCGTGCCCTTCAAAGTGTGCCAGCCTGCCTCGCTTTTAATTAGATTTCTGTCTTATCAGTTGCAGAGGGAAGAGGGCAGAAGAAAAGGCTCCCGCACACATTCCCTGTGGTTTCGATTACCAGCCTGAGAGAAATCAGTCTTTGTGCCGGAGTGTAACTCCACACCTCCGCCAGCCTGCAGATAGCATCAAGAGAGAGCCGTCCCATCACACAACCTTCAAAAACATGACTGAAGGTGAAAAAAAAGCTGCGGAACTGGTTGTGTGCTCTCCTTTTCCTCGCTTTTTATCATTCCCTCAACCGGTTCCTTTAATATTAATAATGGCGCACACTTAGAAAAAAGGGTTCTTCTATATATGTACTGTAGCATAGGGTTCTTTACTCAACTCCAAAGGACATTTTATGCAAAAAAAGGTTCAATAATGACAAGAAAGAACACTTTTGGCACAAAGGTTCTTTAAAGGCTATTATTCATTCATATATTACATTATTCTGCAACATTATGTAGTATGTAATTAAATGATTGTTTATTAAACTGTTGTAGTAACTTAATATCACATTTTAATCTTGCAGATTTTTGGACTCTTCATGTGATATTGATTAATTAAATTTTTTAACCACCATATCTTAAATTTTGTGATCATTCACAATCACATGCATTGCATTTTAGGGGTTCCAAATACGTAGCGCTTTAGAACCTTTTAAGGTTCTAAATAGAACCTTTTCTTCTAAGAGTGCAAGGTAACAATTCACAACACTCAATGCATTAGGCATTATGAACTAATAATGAAAAACACTTTTTCCGGCATTTATTAATCTAGGTAAATATTAAATTTCTACATATGCATTTTTAATATTTCATGAGGAAACATATTTAAACATATTTAAACAATGACAAATATTATATCTTTTTGACCTAAATATTCACTGTGAGTTCAACACATTTGCATGTTCACGGTTCTCCAGTGTCAATTAATGGTCGTGCGACGTACCTGCATGATAAAATATGGAATAAGTCACCCAAAAATAAAGAATACACCGATGCATGCACCATTGGTATTTTGCACCCATGCAAAGTGGACTTTTCCCTCCACAGACGCACGCCGGTAAACTAGAGAATGAACTTGCGCAAAAAAGGAGGCGTGTTTCGGTGCAACAGCGTGCCAATAGCCTCGGACCTGGAACCGAAAGGCTAAAATCAAGCTACGTTTCCACCGTCGGGCCATTAGCCTCGGAGCGCTATCCTAAAACAAGCCTCTCTGGAATAAACGTCACACAACCTCACAATTTCACCAGCAATGGGAAGCTAGGTGACCGCAAGATCGCAAAATGAACATGACAGACTTAAAAGACTCCAGATTTAATATCTGATGCTGGATTGCCCCAAAAGAACCGACCGGAAGTTGAAGCCTCGCGGGAGCTGCCATCTCGTAGCAGAACTTCACTTGCATTAGCATTCCCATTGACTCCCATTCATTTTGGCGTCACTTTGACAGCGAATAACTTTACATCTGAGGCGTTTGAAGACCCCATTTGTCCTTTATTTATTTCGAAAGAAACATGACAATGTATAAATAGCTCCATTACCTTGTAGCTTATGTTATGGCCCCGTAGAAGCAGTTTTAGTGAAAGTAGGCTAACGATTGCGTCATACCCATGAGACTCTCTGTCGCACAGAAAAGAGATTACCGTATATGCACATGAGAAGAAGCTCGCGCGCAATCGGGGAAACGTGGAGGCAAAATGACAAAATAATTAATCAGAATAACTAGCAGAATTGTCTCCTGCTCCTCGCTCATGGACAGCTCCTATTCACATGCTCCGCCTCTGCATGTTTCGGAAGGGAATGATTCAGATTTCTCATTCCACAGTACTAGAAGACAGACGGGTTGCTCTCGTCACTAGGATTGGGTATCGTTTGAATTTGAACGATTCTGATTCCGATTCCTAACGATTCTCGATTCTGATTCTTTTAAGAGGCAGGGTCAAAAAAGTTTAGCTAACCTTGCTAACCAACGGTCTTTCTGAAGGAAATACTCCTTTTGTCACAAATTTTGCTGAGAATTCGTTATTTTTAGAAAAGTGAAGCTACACTTTGGACCGCCGACGTAAGCTAGTCATGTTCGACTCGCGCTCGGTAGACGCTTCTTCGTTGGTGTCGTTCAGCGGTTTCTTCTTCCGCTCTGCGGACTGTGAATATCGAAACTAGGAATCGAAATTTTAACTTTTGAACGACTTTTGAACGATTGCGGGAAAAACGAAAAGTTAGTCCCGGTGTTCTGACAACTCATGCTACCCATCGAGATTTCCTACTTACCGGTTATGCGCATGTGCAGACTCACAGTTTTTTTTTGTTTTTTTTTTACAAAAGGTACATTTTCCTGTTATAATGTATAATTTCCCTTTAAAAAATGCTTACTACCATATGAATATTTGTACGGTCAGCCAGCTGAAAAGGAATAACTGAAAGTTTCAGTTACTATAAGAAAAGGTGTACTTTGACAAGTCAAAGATGAATATTTTATGATAATTTTTACTTTTCACACCGTTTTAAAAATAAAAACAGTAGTCTACAGTATACAGTAGCTACTCATAACTTAGAATTGTATTAGAATTGTATTTCATACGACTTAAATCGGCATTCTGTGATCAATTCGCGCTACGGTAGCATTTTTCGACAAGGCAGCAAAAATCGACAGAACACCGGTTCCAATCGATACTCGATTCTAAAAAAATCGCCAAAAACAGGCTTCAATCGTCTCAATGGAGCTCCAATGAGATCGCTCTGTCCATTTCTTTTACTGTCTATGGAAAGACCCCCAAAAAGGCCCGATCAAGCCCCGGATATGACTAGCCCTGGCACACCCTGTTAACGCATCCAATGATGAATTTTCATTTTTTGAACTATCCCTTTAGGAAAAGGCCCCACACCCAAGGCTTTCTTCTCTGAGTTTCTTTAATATACACCTGAGCTGTGTCAAGTCCTGCCCCAGTCAAAAGGATTAACCTCGAGCAAACAACAGGCCACATTGTCCCGCTTGTCAGGCCAAAGCTCGCATTACCAAGTTCAATAGCGCCCTGGCAGACGGAAGCAAGGGACATCCCCGTCTTTCTCTCAACCAAGCACACACACATTCCTCCAACGACAAGAATCCCAGCACTGCTGCTATGAGCCCATCTATTCCCTATCCGTGGGACTGTCAGGGCCGAAGAATAATGCGGCCGGGAGGAGGGAACCTGCGGCTTTGATCAGGAGCTCTCTTTGAAGAGCCTTTCTTTCTTCCAGCTCCTCTTCCATTCTCTCCAGGCTGGAGATAGACTGAGATAAATCACCCTCATGTGCAACCACCCATGCTAAACACATGCACTTTAAAATGCGCTTTGTTATGGGTTCGTGCACGCTAATGGAAAGCGCAGACACGCAGTCTGAAATCTCGTTTTTAGGACTGTTTAGGGACACTCACTTTTCCATCTGCTGGTTATTGATTTTAGCGGAGGGAGTAACTGACTAACAGCAGCAACAGAACTGACTTTATTTTGCTATTTTTCATGACAAAGATGCTTGTTTTTTTATATTGCACACATAAATATAGAGGAGTATATACATATCTTATAATAAATGCATATATATATATATATATATATATATTCAGATATTTGAGCAGTCAAATTGATTAATCTGGATTAATCACATCAAACAAAAACGTTTGGTTATATATGTGCTAATATATACGTATATATATATATATATATATATGGTGATTAATCGATATGACAGCAATAATTTATGTATATATTAGGGCTGGGCAACGATTAATCGCACCCAAAATAAAAGTTTGTGTTTAAATAATATATTTGTGTGTAGTGTGTGTAATTATTTTGTATATATAAATACACACACATGCATGTATTTAAGAAATATTTGCATGTATATACTTTATACATATTTATACATAATTAATATTAAATATAAATATAAACATTTGATATAATAATAACACATTTTTCTTAAATATATACATGCATGTGTGTGTATTTATATTTACAAACTAATTATACTAATTATACACACTACAGACACATCTATTATTTAAACACAAACTTTTATTTTGAATGAATGCGATTAATCGCGATTAATCATTGCCCAGCCCTAGTATATATATATATATATATATATATATATATAAATAATCTGTATATACTGTATACTGTATATATAGTGTTTTGTTCACTGTATTAATACACACTTAAGATGTATGTTGTGTATATATATACACACACATATACAGTATATACACCATCACACACACACACGCACGTATCCATATTTATATATAAATATATGTTTACGTTTGTCAGCACTTATACTAAATGCAACTATTTGCAACAAAATAAAAAATATAAACTCGCATGCACATATATTTTTGGCATATAATAGTTACATTTAATTGTAAATTATAATTAAGATATATATACACACACACTATACCATGTATGATTTTATATATAAGTGTGTGCATATGACGTCTTGCATCACGCTAAACAAGAACCTCGCTGTGATTGTCTCGCATCAGATAAACACAGCTATGACAAATGATTTAATCTGCACTTTAATGTTATCTACTTCTGCAAAATGGCCCGTTCTTGATCTACTAACAGGTCGTCTCGCCTTAAACTCCGTCCATTGGGACTTAAGTTGACATGTCGGGCATTTCAAAGTAGTTCCTCCAACCCTCCTGAGAGGAAACCTACCGAGAGGACTGGCCATCCAGTGGACCACCACAGCCGCCTGGCTGTCACATGACAAGTGACTGTAGGTGATGTTGCTCACTTCATGGATGGCGTGTTTCCCCAGCAGATTCCAGTTGAGAGAGCAATCTAATTGGGATAAAAAGAGCAGGAACACAGAGAGTTAAATAGAGAGACAGACAGTGTTTCCCTGTGAGAACATCGGTGAGATTCTTTGGCAAGCTCTGAGAGAAAATATGCAGCCATGCGAGAAGACACTACTTCCCCACCCCCTTCCTTCCTTCCTTCTTTCTCTCACTACTTTCCTTCTCCTGGTCGACTACAGATAAGCAGGTAAAAGAAGAGGAGCAGTCGCTTGTGTCCCTCACACCCCATCGCTCTTTTTTACGCAAGCCTTATTGTGATGTTAATGAGAACGGCTTTGAGCCGAGGCCCGTTCACGTTGGTAGTCACACATAATGGGGATTGAATGCGGAGGGAAAATCAGGATTAGCAATGAGAAACTTGACTTTTCATCGCTTAAGGGGCGGACAAGAGCTCAGGAAGCTTGACTGAAACAACGTCAGGCATTAACAAGAGAATAAATACTATATCAAGCCATGCAAAGAGAATCAATTAAAGTTAAATCACACACAGAACATGTCATATTTCCCCACAAATATTGCATAATGTTATTATATTTTGCTTGAGAGTGTAATTTATATGGAACTGGAACCCGTCCCAAACTCACGCCATTGGTTGAGTCGACGTTGCTCAAATAAACAGAGTTTTGAGAGGAAGTTTTGTAGCATATTATAAAATATTACATTATTATATCATTATTATTATTTACTACTTTTTTTTAATTATGACAATATTTTAATGACAATTAAGCAACCCAATTCTCATTATCATAATGCATCTTTTTTTTTTTGGTTTATTATATATATTTTTTTAATTTGCACTGATATAAATAAAAATAATTGTAATATTCTTAAATTATTCTAATGCAAAATAAATAATTAGATATTATTTAAATGCATCAATATGTTCTTATTTATTTGAATGTACATTGATTAAAAAAAGAAAATAATTTGCATAATTTTCCTAATGCAAAATTATTAATAATTAATTATTAATATTAAATTAATTGTTAATAGATATTTTTTAAGTATTGATGCATTAATAAGTTTAATATTTGTCATGTATGCAGATTTAAATAAAAATGATTGTATGCATTTCATTTATTTATTTATTTCATTTTTTTATAATATATGCAAGAGTTTGATTTGTGATTCAATGAAAAAAAGAAAATGTCCAGGTGCATGACAGTAATGAGAATTTAATATTAATATCCAGGTGTTTTTAAAGTGTGTTTTTACGGTTTCTTAAATCTATTGATTTTGGGTTAAAATGTGACATGTTTTCATTATACATTAATAGTGCAGTTAAAGAGACGTCTTACTGTCGTTTCGAAACGTGACTGCGAGTTTGCGACCGCTCTCATCGGCGCTGGACGACTGCGTTCCCTGCGGAGAAAGAGAGAACAGGAAAAAGAAAATGTTTTATTACACAACCATGAAACTGTAATGGCAGCATTAGAGATGTCTGAGAGACAAACAGTAACTTGTGCAACAGGAATGTGCGCTCGAGCCTTCAAAACCAGCAGCACTTCATGTGGTGACAGCCGCAACACACAATCCCACAATTATCAGAGTCCTGGCGCTCAACAACACAGCGCTCGCTCGCTGCCAAAAGACAAATATAACCCTTTACACACAGAACGGCATCGGCCGACCCAGAATCAGCCGTTTAAACTCGCACGGTGAACTCAGGTGAGATAATGAGGGGTTACGGCTGACTCCAGAACAGTGTATAGAAAAGAAGTCAAAACAAATACGCTTGCGTGACAGAACCAGACAGACTCGAGAGCTCTGTAATCAGCGTGCCAGATCAGGCCGGATGTGGAAAAACAGAAAGGAAGATGCATCAAATATGGATTATCAAATAAGGTGAAGGGTGTTCGCAGACGTGGAGCGACACTAAAGAGGCCTCGTGTGTGTATCTCCACAGATCTGATCATATTCCTGGTGTAATCTGGGATAAAGGAAGTTGTTTGACATGGCGGGACGAGAGACATTCACTCCCACCCGAGAGATGAGAGTTAACATGCATACTTTAACAAAGCATGATAATCATTGCTTAATGTTAACATTTGAACCTTCAACAAGAATCTCCATACTTCAATTTGACTATAAAGATTAAATGGGGCATACTTTGCATAGTTTATATTTGATCCCAAAATAAAACTTTTGCGACATTTTCTATGAAACAGTAAAAACAACGATTTTTCTTCAAATATTCTGGTTTAATCCAATGTGTTACTTGCTGTTCATTTATAATTACTTATGAAATTTACTAGCAACTTCTGAGTGCAAACATTTTTTAAAATGCCTTTATAATGCTGGCCAATGATTTTCTAGTTATTTTTACCACTGTCAAAACAAAAGTTGGACCATAAATTGGATTGACACCCCATGCACCTGTTTGGTGCAATTTTCAATGCGGATCTGTTTTTATCCCTAGTTGGAGCATCTCTACTCCCCGTACAATCAATTTCTTTCTCCAAACACATAAATCATCCAAAGTTTTCCTAAACGCTCTACTGGAAACAATCACACAACCAAAGACAGAAGACTTCAGCATGTGCATGTAAAAAACTGCTTCTCTGCTGCCAATCCAGTAAATGTCAATGATATTTTGCTTGCATTAGAATAAACTATGCAGATATGCATCATGGGAAACTGTAGACTGGCTGCTTTGCATGAATTATATGTGGGAAACTGCTTACAAATTGCTGTTTGAAATGGTAAGTGAGTCGACTAAAAATAATGCAGCTAACAACATAATTCACAATTAATGCTGCAACTAAAACGATGTGAGTAAACTACTCCACGTATGCTCTAGACTTTGACTAATCTGTCTTAATGACATCCTCTGGCCCACTTCCACAGGATGTACACTGATGAGGGTGTGACCTCTTGACCCCAGGAGTCTCACTCACACACACACACACACACACCATACCTGGACCAGATGTCCAACTCCAGACTAACATACCAAGGTTATTAGAGCAAAAACTACAACTACATGTTTGTTAATTGAAATAAAGATGGAATAAATTTTAAAAATATATATATCAAACTTACTGAAGAAATTTTGAAGTTAAAGCTAAAAAAGAAAAGAAAAGCTCAAATAAAAATAAATGAACCCTATTACAAATAATTAATTAAAATGACTAGCACTTAAATAAATACTTAAAATTAATAAAAGAAAAAATTATAAATATAAAAAATAATAATAATACTATTTATTAGTATTATATTAATCAATTAAAATATAAATATCTTAAACTTACTTCATTTTAGTTGCCAAAGACACGTCTAATTTAGTTTAGTTTAAGTTAAAGCACTAAAATTACTAACTGGAAATCATTACAAAAGTAAAACTAAAGAAAAAAAAGAAAAGAAAAAGTATAACCCAAATAGTAATACAAATAATAAAATGACAAAAGCACAAAGTAAAATTAAACAAAAAAATTATGGAATATTTAATTTAAATTCAAAAATAAATTTTAAATTTAAATTTTCTATAATATTAAAAAATATATATATATTATAGAAAATATAAAAAAAGCTAATTAAAAAATAATAATAAAAATATAATAGTGGATATTGATAAATAATAGACAAATAGAGCAAAACCAAATCAAAAACTTTTTCTAGTTTTCTATGGATTATATTTAGTCTTTAGTGATTTAAATAAAAACCCTTAACACCGAGTATTAGCATTTTCCTGATCATGATGTCCAGGAGTGGAAAAACAACACTGGGAAAACTTTCCTGAAGGTTTAATGCTGCAGTTAATGAACTGAGGGGAATGAAAGCACAAACTAATTTGGCTCATAGCCCTTGGCCTCGCTTTTAAAGCCCGAGATTTGAGGTAAAGAAAGCCTTTACTGCCTGCAGAGACTGGCTGATTCCTCATTTAGCACCAGAATAAAGTGAGAAAGCCAGCAGCTTTAGAGCCGCACTAATGGCTCCTGCCATGCTGTCCTGGGGTTGTTTTAGCACCGAGGGCCCAGCAGGGTCCCGAGGGTCACGGCAGACACACACACATCTGCTGTAGGGGCTGTTACACACCTGCAGATAATCAGAGGAGCCATTCGGACCACTGACTCACACCTCTCAGAGCCAGGCCAGACATTCATGAGCAACATTTAAAGAAGTAGTTGACTTTTTAAAAAAAAACTTTAGCTGATAATTTACTCACCCCCATGTCATTCAAGATGTCCATGTCTTTCTTTCTTCAGTCGAAAAGAAATGAAGGTTTTTGATGAAAACATTACATGATTTTTCTCCACATAATGGACTTCAATGGGGTCCAAACGGTTCAAGGTCCAAAAGACAGTTTCAGTGCAAACTGCAAACTGTTCAAAGGGCTTTAAACGATTCAAGACGATGAATAAGGGTCTTATCTAGCAAAACGATCGCTCATTTAATAAATAAATAACAAAGTTTACATTTTATACGCTCAAATGCTCGCCCTGCTCTGTTCTGTGATGCGTGTTTGTGACTCTCCTGTTCATCAAAATGAACATATCTTTTTTCGAAAAATGATTCGTTCATTTCGTGATGAACCGAATTTTTAAATGACTTGATAAGACCCTGGTGTCGTTTAAAGCCCTTTGAAGCCGCACTGAAACTCTTGAACCGTTTGGACCCCATTGAAGTCCATTATATGGAGAAAACCCTGGAATGTTTTCATCAAAAACCTTCATTTCTTTTCGACTGAAGAAAGAAAGACATGGACATCTTGGATGACATGGGGGTGAGTAAATTATCAACAAAAGTTTTTTCAAAAGTGAACTACTCCTTTAATGTCATGCAAATGACTTTAATTGCACATCTTCCAGGTCTAGTTCTCTCTCTATGTGCGAACGAGTGTTTGTGATGAAGGAAGGGGGTCTGCGATGTGACACATTCCTCCTAACAAGTCTGTCACACTCTCCCCGACACCCTTTTACGACCTTCCTCGACAAGCAGCAAACCCTCCTCCTCTCGTTCCCCGTGTACCTGTGGGCCGCCGGCCCCGCTGAGAGGAGCTCGGACGTCTCGGCCCTCGTCCTGCTAATAGCCCCAGCGGTCGTTTGGTATCCGAAAACTTCAAATGGACAGTTTGGGCCGGGGGTGCAGCGATGGGGCTCGTAAACTCGCTGCATCCCATGTGGCAAATGAGCAGAAATGTTGCCCGTGAGGTAAAACAAGGAGGTCAGACCCCGGTCAAACAAGGGTCCCCGTGCTTTATTGGGCCTTATTAAGTGATTGTAAAAGAGAGAAGACTGTGTGCCTTTTGTTTAATGACCGGGGTCATTAAACGCACCGTGGAAATTAAGAGAACACACAGTGACTCAAGTCACAATTAGAAAAAAATATCATGGTAAACCTTGAAGCATGATTTTGCATGTGTTATTATGTACTATAGTTATTTATTATTATGTACTACACTCTTAGAAGAAAAGGTTCTATATAGAACCTTAAAAGGTTCTATCAGCGCTACATATTTGGAACCCCTAAAAGGTTCTATACACTGTTAAAAAAAGGGTTCCTCTGGGTTCTATATTCCCCTGGGGTTCCGTACTTGGCCAATAGAACCTTTTATTAAAAAAAAATGGTTCTATAGAACCATTTTGGAGTTCCATATATGAAGCGGGGGATGGAACCATTTCTGGTTCCAAATAGAACCATTTCTTCTAAGAGTGTATAGCAATACCATGGAACTACAATTGAAGAGTTCAGATGCAAAAGCCTCTAAATGCCATTTGAAATTTTCTTCTTTAATGAAGATTTTTATCAAAGTTCAGTAATTTCACTTAAATAACAATTAATAGGTAATTATCATTGCCATTTAAGTGAAATCACTGAACTTAAATATACAAGTTTGATTAAAAATCATCACTCTAGAAGAAAATTACAAATGGCACTTAGAGGCTTTTGCATCTGAACTCTTCAATTAGTGTTCACCATTTGAAAGGTGATTTTGTAGCCCGACACTAACTAAATAAAGTACCAAAAACCTTCTTACATCACATCAGTAACATGTTTTTAGTCCATACCTTGATGTACTGTGCAAATACCATGGCATATGAATATATAACACTGTTCAAAAGTTTGGGGTGAATAAAAAGCTCAAGGCTGCATTAATTAATTTGATTAAAAATACAGTAAAAAGTGAAATATTATTACTGTTTTCTATGTGAATATACGTCAAAATGTCATTACTCCAGTCTTCAGTGTCACATTTGATGCTCAAGAAACATTTCTGATTATTATTAGTGTTTTTGTGTTGTTTTGTATATTTTTGTGGATACATTTTTATTTTCCAGTATTCTTTGTTGAATAGAAACTGCATCATAAATGAATTTACTGGCACTTTTGATTCATTTAATTTCAATTTGATTTAATGCATC